CGCGATTGTGGCCCTTGAAACCTCGCAGAACTCCAACAACCTCATCTAACGCCACCAGGGCTATCCCAACAATCCGCGACCGACCCAAACTCGCCGGAATGGTGGGCGCCCAACCCCCGCCGCCGCCGGCGCAACGGCCCCAGCGACGAGCCAGCGGACGACCCCGCGTCGAGCGTTCAGGCGCGATGCGCCTCCCGCCAGGGAGTCGGCGCCCGAGAGCCAAATGCCCATCTCGGCCGCGTAGCGAGATCCTGCCAGGTAAGGAACGGAATGATCTCGGCGCTCCGGGAGCGTGGCTCCGAGATGCTGATCGCGTTCGAGCTGCGCGGCTGACGCGGAGCGGGAGGAAGCGCGGGATTCTTCGTGTGGTGGGCGGTGGCGACGCTGTCGTGACGGCACCGCCCTGGGCCGGGCCGCAATGAGTTGCCTGTGGCGACCTGAGCTGACTTGTGGGATTCAGCCACGCGCTCAATCACCGCGCCTTGCATTCGAAAATCCCGCCCCGTGGAGCTGGGCGTGGCCATGGGAGGGTTTTGGCAGGCGTGGAGACCGGCTGGCGAATGGGGCCGCGCAACACCAGGGGGACCGCCGGCGCACGGATCGGCGCCCGCCGCAGCGATCGCGACGGTTCGCAAAATTAAATCGGGGATCGGCACTCGGGCCGCCCGCCCGGCTCTCCGACGCACTCCCCCCCGGCGATGTCACCGAGGTCCGCTCCGATCGGCTGTTGGATCTCGTGGCACAGCTCGCAGCGATCTGCCGGGTGCTGCACATTGTCGCAATTCGGCCGCTGTGGCCAAATGCCCCGCTGCGTTCCTTGTATGGCCTGTAGCTTAGGCGCTGGCGTGGGCTTGGTGGGGAGGCAGTGCCCGGACCTGTCAACGCGTGCCGCAGTTGACCTTCGGCCCCGGCGTTGACCGCCAGTTGCAAGTGCCCACGGCTGGGCAGGGTCCCGGGCTGAAGTCGCCGGGTTAGGGACTATTTTTCGCGCCGCAAAGGCCCGCACTTCTGGGTCAGGGAATTACTCGCCCATTCGCGGTCCTCACTCACCCAGTTCATTTTCTCACTCACCCAGTTTTAGTAGTCAATGTAATGCAATCCCAAACAAACCAGTAGAAGGACTGGGCCGGTGTGATGCTCCGGTTGGTCACCGGTTCGGCCGACGAGACGACCTAGAAATGGGTTGTCTTCATGGCAGGCGACAAAAGCCTGTACCAGTGCTAGGGTTGAGGAATTGCTGGGGTGTCTGGCCCATATTAGGATTGAAGAACCTTCTGGCTGAACTCCTGTTGTTTAATTGACAAATCGGGCCCCTGGCACCTTGGAGGCGATGACGGGGGGATTGCATCCAAATACGTGTATGGGAGAATCTTCGGAAGCATTCGCTGCTAAAGCTGGCTGTTGTGTGCCAACCTGGTGCCAGCCTTCCCCGCCACAATCTTGTTCAGTGCCCGCCTGGGTGACGGCCACTTCTCAGGTCTCCATGGTGATTTGTTCTACCAGCCACGCGTTTAAATGCCTCCCGTGTGTACGCATATACACACGATCCGAGGCAAATCCACAGCGGCCCCAATACTTAGCAAGTACCCCTCCCCCCTCACCCCCCCGCCCCCGCGCGCCTCGCACCCTTCCCTTCAAAGCCTTCCTCCAATCCGGCCTGCAACTCCTGTGTATTGCCCCATTCGCTCGTTTGACTTCGCATGATACGGGTGGCTTCCCATTCCCCCTCCCCATGTGATGATAATCTGATTGATGCGCCGTCGACCCGGCCGAGCCACGCCGGGCGCTGACGCCCGCGGGGAATGGACGAAGAACCAACCACGATGCATCCATACATCGAATCCAGGCGGGCGGCGCCCAGCAATCGAGCAGCGGGGCTCGGACGCACCCGGAACGGCCACCAGCAAACCAGCCAGTCAGCCAACCGCAAGCTTGCTTGAGACGTCACAGGTGTCCGGGGAGGACGCAGGCGGCGGCCACGGCTGCAGGGAACGTCCAGACCGCCACCCACTTTTGACTGATAGGTCCTTCGCTTCCTCGCGGCGCGTGCCCCTCTCGCAACACCACGGGAGCACTATTGCCACCACGGCCCCTCACAAACCACCTTCGTGTCATGTCACAACCGGCTGTGCTGTCCGCTGCTGCCCACCCGCACGGATCTCCCCATTGCTCTCGAGTGTCCTGAACCCTCTATCTCGCATCGTGAACCGCCCCCAGTACTGCATCCCTTCACTGCGGCGCATCTCGTCCGTACACTCGCGCGGAGATGTCGAACGTGTGACCTCCCACCCTCGGGGCTGAGCGCCCCTGCCTCAAGGTGGGTCCCGTCCGCCTGGGCGGCGGGCCCTTGACTGTAGTGCCGCCGGCAAACCGGTGGTGGGTCCCGCGGCGCTGACGGGAACCCGCTCTACAGTGTACATCCCGCGAACGCCGATGCGGTCCGCGGGGTGTCAAAGCGCGGCTCGGGCACCCGCCAAAGGCGGAAGTTATGGAGAAGGATAGCCCAAGATCGGACAACGGCTAAAGTGGGAGGATAAAGGGAGCAGAGAAAGGGCAATCACTAGGATCGGAGGCTAGAGGGTGAGGCAGGCAGGCCGGCGCTTGTGTGGCGGGGAGGGAATTGATACCTGGATCAAGAGAAAGGGCATGAAAAGGCGTTTATTGGGTAGATTTTGCTCGCGCGGGCGGGGAGTGGACGGTTGGGGTGTGTTTTTTTTTGGGGGGGGATCCTCCTACGACGGGCGCACGGGCGTCCCGGGGGCGCGGGCCGTAGCGGGGGTGGAGTGATGCGCCCGAGGCGGGCGCGGCGGCCTGTGGCTGACGTTTGGGATGGCTGGCATCGGCGGTGCAGGGGCGATTGGCGGAGGTCGGTCACGAGTCGGAGGGGCGCCCGCCGTGCGGAGAGCCGCGCAGGGGGCAGGAGGCAGATGTGCGCCGTGCGGCAGGCTGGACGGGCGGCTGGCGCGCGGGCGGCGCCGCGATCGGCGGGAATGACGGCAAGGTGCGCCCGAGCGGTTGCCGCGTTTGGGCGCGGCGTGAGATGTCGGCTGGTGGTGGGAAGGAGGATGGGCGTGCGGTGTCGGCCCGCCCCTCACCTTCAGGGGGTTATCTGTGCAGTTTGGGCCCGGCTGCGTCTCGCCGGGCCCCCTCTGCGCTCGCGGCTCAATGCCAGTTTGCTTCCCCGCCCGCGTCCAACGTTCGCCCAGTCCGATTGTCGACGTCCGCGGCGGGCGGGCGTCCGCGCTTGGCTCTCGCGCAGCTGCAGCCCCGCGGTCGATCGGGCCCGGCCGATCGTCCGAGGCCGTTCGAGGCCAATTCCCGGCAGTGGCGCTGACGATCACCGTCGTGCCCCCCCCCGCAGGTGGCCGCACTGGAGCGGGCGGTGGACGAGCTGCAGTCCAGTTGCGTGAAGCTGCGGGCGTCGCAGGCGGGCCTGGAGGACGACGTGGGCAGCATGAGGGCCAGCCTGGCGTCCATCCTGGTGGGTGACCACGCCCGAACGCATAAATGGGTCGGGCCCTGGGTCCCCCGCGTGGGGGCGCGGGCACGAGCAGGGGCCGTGGAAGGGCGCGTACCTTGGCGCCCCCGTGGGCTCGCGCCAGTACTTTAGGCGCTGGGTCCGCGAAGTTCGCGTGAACTGCTGGGGGCTGCTTGGCCCCTGGGGTCCTATCCGCAAGAGCGTTGAAGCGCGCGGCAGTGGCGCGGCGGCGTGGCTGCCAGGCGCTTGCAGGCTGCTGCGGCGGCGTGGGCGCGAGCGCTGCGGGGCGGGGCGGCGATGGCGCATCGCCCCCCGTTGTCGCGGAGCCACATGTCAGTCGGGCCCCTTGCTCGTCGTGGCTCCCCACAAAGCGCCAACAGGCCATCCCCCAAACTCAATCGATGGCCCTGTGCTGCTCCGCGCGAGTGAACGCGAGGAGGTGAAGCGAAGGTGGCGGCGATCACCAGGTGGGGTGCCAGCGGTTTCCTGGCGAGGAAAATGGCGGCGTTGACGGCCTCCCGCCTGCCCCATCCGCGCTCTGGATGTGGTGTGGCATACATTTGACTGGTGTCTCTGGACCCGCTGGGCGACGATCGCCGACTATTTCGACTACATCTGCCCGTGACGTCTCATCTTATCATATGCGATCGTCGTTGCATATGACAAGGGCTCCGTGTAGCAACTGTGAGTCGGTGTGTAATGCCAGAACCGCATTGTGCTAGATTGATATTGTAGGCTGTGGCGGTGTTCAGTGGCACACTGCAGGTAGTTTTGCTGTATCCATGACAAGCTGAGAGTTTGTGTGCTGTTATCCAGGTGAGGTGCAGGATGCTAGAGTTTGAGCACCGGAGGTCGATGGAGGTGAGGATCCCACAATGTGATGTTGCTGTTCAATATGCGTCTGCTTGTGTGTTCATGTTTTTGCCGCACATGACATGGTCACTTGTTTAAGTATGGGACCACTCGTAACACTGCAGTTATGCCATTTCTTTGTGTTCCGTGGCCCCTTGTGCAGCAGATTGTCACTTTGTCAATCCAGATTATCCACTTGCTGGCGCAGAAGTACTCACAGCGTGCTAAGGTGACCCAGCTGTGGACAACACAGTTGGCTGAGTGAACAACAGGCCACACAGAATGGGGAGTTGTGTTTGGGTGGTGCAGATGGCACAACTGGAAGTGGACAAAGCCTCAAGCTCGGTTCTGCCTCGCACAAGCCACAGCTGCTGCATTATTACCCACATTCTGTCTCCTCACGGCCTCCAATTCTTGCCATCAATTCATCGTGCGCTAGAGCATGAAAACCACATTTCCTTTGTCATGTTCACTCAAAACCAAGAGATTATCTATGGAGCATGGATGCTACACTGATGGTGCCCAGTGCAGTATAGACATTAGGGTTGTGAAAGGAAGGCTGAAAGGATGCTATGCTTGCAGGCCCAGGCCAAGGAGTGCAGTGGCAACTCCAACACACCAAAGTTGCGGCAGCGCATGTTGGAGACTACCGGCAGCATAGGTGCTACAGGCCAACGCCATCAGCATGGCCACAGATTCGCCCCTGCACAAATGGCTGAACGTGCGCAGGCCAAGCAAACCAGCCAGTCTTGCTTCAAAGACAAAGCATGCCGCATCCACGAATGGATCCCATCTCCACGTCGGGGCGTGGAAGGGGACGAATCGGGGGCAGCGCCCATAGCGGACAAGCTTGGCATTGTGGGCGCTGGACCACCCCAGACCGATCAAACGAGAAGAACAAATGACCTAGCAAGCAGGAAACCGGACACAAGCCTCCAAGATCTTTCGCACCGGTTGCAGCGACTGGGTGTTGGGCCCTAGAGCAGTCGAATTGTGTGGAGCTGGAGCCTTACCTGGGTGCAGCTCCAGCATCCATTTCCGTAGGACGCAGGCACAGGGAGCCACCACTCTTGGAATATGGGGACATTGTGGTGTTGCAAGCCATGGGCGAGGGAAAGTAGAAAATGAGTGTGCAGCGAGGAATACAATAGTCAATTGAAGAGGAATGACACAGTAGTTAGCCCTGCAAGAGTTGTTGGTGGGAGGTAGGGAGAGCTACTTCCACAAAGCCCTGTGGCTTCGCCTATGGCCATGCAAGACATTTTGGGCCGATCGACGGCGACCGACACTGTACAGGAATGTATTTCATTGAGATCGACACAGCTTAGTTTCGCACACTCACAGCACGAAAGCTCTCCGAAGAGGAAAGGCACCTCGCGACCCCTGGCTTTGGAGGGACCCGGCTTGGAGGCAGACGAATCGAAGGAAGGGAACTGGTGGCGAAGAGAGTGTCAATGACGTCATCTGGGGGTAATGTGAGCGATGGGACAACTCGGAAGGGAGCACACCAGGGGCGAGGCGCCCACCTCGTTGGGAATAAAGCTTCTGGATGGAGGCCGGTGCCGTGTTGCGGTGCGGCCATGGCATGCACTGGAATTGATTATTTTAGGGTTGGGGTCTGCGAGGCAGGATTTTTTGTGAGTCGTTTACCGGGCGATCTGATGGGACAGCGCTGTTTCTCGGGCCCCACAAGGGCCTCTGCGCGTGAGAGCCCGCGCCCACAGGGGGAGCGTCCTGGGGTTCGCTCTGGTAGTTGAGACAGGGACACCTTTCTCCGTTTTCACATTTAATTTTGTAGTGTCTCCGATCGTGTCGGCTCTGTGCCGCTGGCAGTTGCGCTGCTTGGGGCGTGGGGACCGGGCGCCCTTCATCACCGCCGCATCGTCGCGATTGCGTCGTGCAAGGGCGAGAAGGGCGGTGGCCGTGGGCCCACATATCGCATTGCAAGCCTCCTGCTTCAGTTCGCGTCTCACCTGACACCTTTTGGGGGACAGCCCACAGGAACGTCAGCACCAGCTCTGGAGGACGTTGTCCGGGGTGAGTGCACTCGTCACCCTTCCAGAACTAAATGTCGTCTTCTGCTTTGGAGGCTGTATTTGTATCGCACCCCTGTCTGCCTTTCTTGCGCCGCATTCTCCTTGAGTGAGCCGTCATAATGACAGCCAGGTTGAGGCAGAGGGGAAAATAGGCCTTGGAAAAGAAAACCAGATATAACAAGTTATGGTTTCCCATCCATCCAATGCACTTCAAGCCAATGCAATCAACACATGCCTCAAACGTACTTCAATATGAACTCAGCGTCTCTTTAGCCCCTGTACGTATTTACTGACCTATCAACCCGTGCTGCATCTGAGGCATGAGTCCTTTGGCTACGTGAACGTTCGTTCAAAACGTCGCAGGATGCAACACATTCCCAAAGGGTACATCGTAGTACGTTCAAACCCTTCCGCATCAAAATATTCTACAACTACACTTTGTGCTCCGCAAAAAATGGGCAAAAGGCGTTGTTTGCTTTATTGTTTCCTCCAACAAAAAGGCCAAACGTTACATTACCATGCGGAAAGGTTGAATATACCATGGTAGTCTCCTTCTCCTCACAGTCTCCTCCACAACATGTCCTATGGCGTTGCGAATTATTGATGAAGGATTTCCGCAGCCTATCCACTGGATCGATCCTGGATATCCTGGATGGGACAAGGCGGGCGCGTTCGAGATGCGACAAGGACAAAATAACACAGAGGTCGCCTCAAGCGGCAGGCCTGGGTGCCGGTGAGACGTGGGTCCGGAGCAAGTTTATTACAAAGAATCGTGTCCAAAGATCTGGCATGTATTCTGTCCCGCGACCCAACATTGGCTCCCATCCCCATTGGTCGTCCAGTGGTCCGTTCTTCGCCACCCGAATTCAACGGCTCATGACAATATAAATCTCTTACTAATCCAAATGCGGTTGATGCGCCCGAAATCCGACCTTCCCTTGGGATATTGCTTGCCGATATCTTCCCCACGCTGGACCGTACTGGACGCCAGCTCATGCAATCGTCACAGTCATCTATGTTTTGGCACAAGCCGATGTTGACGCCAACAGTAGCAGATGGATCGGCGATCCAAACAAGGAACAAAGCGTTGTTGCAGGAATGGCCGTTGATGCGATTCAAACGGCCCCCTTCGGAGTGCACACGGGAAGCGCGAATCCACGATCGCCGATGCTTCAACGGCCTTGGTACACAGCCAGACGCAAGGCCACACCACACACAACACGCCCAGGGGCTACATATTTGTTCACCCTTCCCACAGAGAAAAGCCTTGCCGATGGTGGCAACGACCCCTGCAACCGAACAATTCGATTTTTTTTGCACCCACAGAACTCTTCTTTTCATATGGCAACGACCATCATCCATCAACAACCAGCCACACGACGTTTCAGAGATACCCACTCGTCGCCGCAATGCAGCCCACTTCATAAAACATACTCTGAATCAGATGGCATCTCCCACAACAGTCAACTTGACGCTCACAAAAGCCCCATCACAGGAAAAATAATTTTGTGAATTCTAGAACATATTTTTCTTTTTTTGTATAAATTCAGAATGCCTTGCATATAAACAATATTTTTGAAGTGCGTACAAGTCGCACACCATAATGCATAAGTGGTCTACCCAGTGCAACGGTGGTCATTATGCGGTGTTGAGAACAGCATGACACCTTTTTTTGGTATTGACGCTGGTGATCACCAGCCCTTGTGCAACGTGGCTGCTTTGCAGGACGTGCACCAATGAAAGTATAGCGGGAGCGTCAGAGGCTGCCTTGATGTGATCTTGGCAAAACGAGATCAGGCAGACCATGAAATCTAAGCCGCAAGGCTCCTTGGCCGCGGGAGATTTTGATTGAAAAGGCCTGGTATGCCAGGTAGGCAATATGTTGCAGATTTGGCGCCCTCCGCCAAAATCTACCCAGGTTGTCTGCTTAAACCTGAATTCTGCATAATCGACCTGTTGTGTCCCACCATGGTTTTCCAATCACCTCCTAATTTCCACTTTCTGATCCCAGCTGTTGGGTACTTACACTACCGTCATTACCATTCAACTATCTAATCTATCCATCCCAGTATGTTTTAATTTGCTGGCAGCCAATCAGCCTAATAGGTCTGCAGCATGCCCAGCCTTCTGGACAATTATTCTGCCTCTGCTGTATCCCACTATTGCTTTTGTTTTAACCAAACTCACACCGCAAGCGCCAAGAACAGTATCTCCCTTGTGTCGTTGCATACCGTCCATCGCTAATCCTTCTAGTTGATGCCTAAATCTCGTGAGTGCTTCCACATGGAGCAATAGTTTACAGGTTCGTATGTGAACATGTTTCAATGTTAACCGTCCATTTACTCGCCCCTTTTATAATGAACAATTCACAGCGCACTATGACCACACACCCGTTTCTGCCGACAATTATTTAATGTGCAAGTGCTGCGCCAGTGCCGTCCACATACCTTCTTGTGTGCAAACGCTGCCGATTACAGAAGCTCAGGAGCAGCAGCAGTCTAGACAGGCTTGGTTTTTACGCCGTAAAAACTGATCGTATTTACGTTTTTATGCGTAAAAATAGTTTTTACGTTTTTACGCATAAAAATGCGTAAAAATACGTAAATACAACGTAAAAACTGTCCGGTGTACATAAGTGCAGTACATACAGACATACGGAGTCCGCGGAGTGGCAGCTAGGCGCACTGGAAGGTGTAGAAAACGAGTTTTTGTTAAGCGCCATCATCGCCCTTGCCAAGGCCGAGATGTACATTGTGTAGCGGGTGTTGGAGTTGGCGAAGGACTGATCATTGTATGCAACTTTCATCGTACAACCTGGGTGTCCCAGGGAGCCGTAAAAAGTGAAAATAGCCGTAAAAATAGGGCCTTTTGCAAATTTACGTTTATACGCGTGAAAACGTAAGAGTAAAAACGTAAGAGTAAAACCGTAAACGTAAACGTAAAAACCAAGCCTGAGTCTAGATTTCAAACTTTGGAGCCGCTGTGTAATTTACCCGTTTCTGGCCGCACGAATTAGCTTCGTTGTAGCTAATTGGCCAGGTTCTCATGAGAGATCTGATCAGTTATAATAAAAACAATAATCAAATTAGATTATTAGGATCATTGATCTCACTGAGCAACAGGCAAACCAGGTGAGGATAGAAAGCAACAGGTCATGGATCGTGGACAGGAGCAAAGTAGTGGATGGTCAGTGTAAACGAATGTAAATACAGCGATTCTGTACAGGGCTCATTTGTTATGGGACAAAGGAAGTATTATGCACGCATTACCACACATTCAGAACAAAAACAGGCAAAGTCCCCAAGCCTGGACATTGTCAATTCCGGACGCAGGCATCGCGAGCACCGTGAGCCGGGCCCCCGAGCCGGACGGCACCCGAATGCCGACGCCACGCGGGCGCCAACGCCGCGCAACCCCCGCCCCTCTACTACATTCAAGCCTCCCCGGGTCTCGTTGGCCACTCCCCCTTACCATGCGCCCTACCTTCCGCGACAACGCCACGGCCCGTGCTGCCACCTGGTCGCGCTGCGCCCACCGCGCTCCCAACGCCGCCGTGCCCAACGCCCTGTCTCGGCGCCAAACCACCGCATTCCTATCCGCGGGTCCCCAAAGGCCACTGGCCGGCTCGATCGACTCGGCATCCAAGCAGCGCGTACCGTAAAAGCTCGACGGGGGGGAGCTCGCCGGATGCTGCCCGCTCGCGGGGGGCGATCCGCGCTTGACGGGGCGGAGCCCTTTCGGCGCCGGGGGCAGGATCGCGCCGCCCGCGCGGCGTGGGGCAGCGGCAAGGTGAGGGGCATGATTTGTGTGACGGGCGCGGGATTGTTCGGTCACGCGCCCGGCCCGACGGGCGCAGTTTGGCGATCGAACGCAATTGTGGGTCTGATCGGCGAGGGGAACGGTCTGCGGGACACAACCCCCGCCTGCTGGTCGGCAGCGCAGCACCGCGCGGCCCCCTGTGTTCCGCATTCCATGCGGCTTCCCCCTTTTTCGGCCGGCCCGTCACGAAACGCGGCCCGCGAGCCATCCCGGGCTGCGCCCGCACCGCGGCCCCGTCGGGCGGCCTCCGCGCCCCCTTCCCCTCCAATCGTTTCCTCGCAACCGGCGCTCCGAGACGGGCTGCAGCGGCATGCATGACTACCGTTCGCGGAATGCCGACAGGTGGACGAGCTGCAGCGCGCGGTGGCGGAGATTCAGGCGGGATGCCGGCGCCTGCAGTCCACCCACGCCGGCCTCGAGGCCGAGATTGGCAGCCTGAGGAGCAGGCTGCACGGCGTGCTGGTGAGCGAGCGCCCGCCGGGCGAGAGCGGCTGTCCTCCGCTCCCTCTGACGCGAGGGCGGCAACGTGACTGCGGCGAGGGCGTGCCGAGGGCGTTGGGTGGGCTGGAACTGACCCACGCGGCCGTCGGACGGACGGACGGGTTTAGTAGGGGTGGGCGAATTTCGGCCGAGTTACGGGAAAATTACCTGAAGCTTGTATGAACGCCGCGGGCAAGTCCTGACGTGGACGCTCACAGGCCCTTATCTGGCGCTGTTGCGTCGTCTTGCGGGGCCGCGGCGCTCGGGGGCCATACAGGCGGGGCGGGACGCACGGGAACCAACCTCCCACGGCGACTGAAATGGCCCTCGGCGGCTTTTTATTGGCCGGGGCGCGCCAATCCGCGCGCCGCGGCTGGTGGCTTGATTGGGCGCCAATGCACGTGAGACGGGGGTGTTGGGTGGAAGGGTACTTAAGGGGTTGGACTACCCTCTTCCTACCCCTGGTCGAGGTGGTTTGGTAGAGCAGTGGGACACCCCGCCCAGTAATACCCGGTTCGATCCCTGGAAAATTATCCTCTGCACCGTCCGCGCTAAAGCAAAGGGTCGCAGTGACCCGAGGCTGAGCACAGCGTCAAAGACCTGGCTGGGAATGTGCATGCGTTCAGTGTCGTCTTGTTCCGTGTCAAGGACATGGAAATGACGTGAAATCACTACTTGTGTTGCGGCTGTCGTCACGGATACTGGGCGTGGCATCGGGCCTTTGGAGCACCAGCTAGAAGCAGCCAACGACGTTCAATTGTGAAGTGGAACATGCAACACATGTGTTGCTGCTGTACGGTTTGCTGTTGATTGGCGACTGCTGCAGCGCCAACTGGCCGCCAGCGCACCACGTGTTCCCAATAACACTTTTTGGCAATTTTCAACGCATTCTGAGCACATTTTGAACACGTTTTGCCCAGTTATAACACATTTGAACATGTGTTATTTGGCCCTTTTTTTCCACGTGTACTGCATTCGCGGCTGCGCTCGGTGAATTAGCGACAACAGCACTCGCTGTTATGGCCGGCTGGTGCTTCTCAGGCATACGGTGGTAGCCTTGCAGTTGCATTTTCCATGGGCGCGGTCCTTCGTCCACTCAGACAGTAGCATCCTCAGGCTCCAGACTCCAGAAGCAGGTATGCGGAGTCCCGTGAAGGTATGTGGCCAAGCGAGTGTTCACAGGGACCGTTTGCTGCGGCAGGGGATGTGCAGGATTCTGGGGGCCGAACAAAGGATGCTACGGGAGGTGAGAGCTGAGCGGCGTGGCGCAACCAACATCCCTTAGTGTGATCTCCGGTTGCACTGGGAACACCCTTTGAGACGATTTCGCACTAGAGTAATTTTTTCTAACCCGGGCAAGAGGAACAAGGGCTGTATTGAATGGGAGCCTCGAGACGAATGAACCAGTTCGCGTGCCGATCGATTTCCGGACAACGATTGGTGGCGCCGCGAGTACTATGGCAGTTTCCCGTATAACAATGTTTTTTCTGTTGTAAAAATGGGTGTGTACATTATCTTGTGCAAGCTGCCCACCAGTAGTGCACACCAAGCATGTACACGCAGTTGGGATCCAGCAGCTCTGAGTTGTTCTGGGTGGCTTCCATATGCCTGAGTATTTTGGACCGAGGGGACCACCTTTCAGGCTTGGCACTTCTCAAGGCGTCTGAAATCTCCATCATTGGCGCTTGAGTTCAAGAGGGTGCCTGTCTGGACACAAAATACCCCACTCCTCACCCACCCTCTGTGATATTTATGACGAAACTCCCACGAAGACAGGGCAGAGGACTGCAGACCTGGAAGGTCTCTGGTGTCCATTCAGCGCGCTGCATTCTTGCCTAGGCAAGCAGTGGGTCAGCTGAGACTGCTGATACGCCACAGGTCTGTGGCATTTCAGCAGCCTCAATTGACCCACTCCTCCAGTACCACTGCGGTCTTCGCTGCTTGCACCAACTTATCACTGCGCCTTGGCACTGCGTGCACCGGCTTAGCGACACCATTAGTTTGTTCCAAATGTCTGTTTTGAATAATTTCGATGTTTGGCAGCTGGAACAAGCCGGATTTCAGTGAAATGGTGTGGTGACGGTTGGCCGCAGGGTTTGCTCCCCGGAGGTTGGCGTTAATCATGTTAATAAATATTATTTACTAATACTAATAATGTTACTTTACTAATAATGTTAAATTAACATCTCTCAAGTTGCAAGAGCAAGCAGACAGTCGGGCAAAGCTCGTTGCCTGCCTTAAAGCATCCGTCGATAGCGGATGCGGTACAACAGTCCGCCTCAGCCAGGTGTCGTTGAAATTTAGAGAGAGGCGCATTTGTCAAAGGACAAACCACCGCAACTGTTGCATATCCGAGAAGGTACTGAGAACTCCGGCAAACTTTTCAAATTTGCAAGAACTCCGCCGATATAGTGGTGCAGGATAGGATTTAGGTTTTGGTGGCGTTTTCCCAACTGCGATCCCAAATCGCTGAAAGGGCCGCGGTCCAGAGGGGCGGCCCATGTTGGTCACGATTGGACAACCTTGGTCGCGAGGATTGCCGCTAGTCTGAAGCGAGAATATATTAGCCCTCACTTCTTTTCCTTGAAGATCCCTTCTTCTTCTGCTGACAAGGCTAACGTGGGTCAGTTTTAGGATTTTAGGCTTTAGGCTGTCTAAACAAGGATCGACAATCACAAGAAAGAGGGATTAATTTCCGGTTCCGTTCCATCGCCAGGACCCAGACGCAGATCAGGTGCGCAGACTGGTCGTCGGAGCGGGGGACCACCTCATGCGCTCCATCGGAGCCGCGTCCGCCTCACAGGCCGCGCGAGCGGCCATGTCGGCGGCGGTCAGCGGTCAACGGCCGCCGACCCGCGAAGAGCACGACCGCGCCGTCTTCGACTGGATCCCCTCGCCGCGGAGGGGCCTGGGGGATCCCGCTGCCCGGCGCGGGGATTGGCGGGGCGAGGACGAGCCAGGAGAGCACTCGGGCGCCCACGCGCAGGGATAGGGCGGGGATGCGTGCCGAAGACCAGCGGCGCGACTTGACCGAACCGAATCAAAGGCAAGGAAATAATGCCCCCCCTGCCTGACCCACTTGCCGCGGGGTAGGGGCGCCGGTATGTTGGCGGATCTGTGTCGTTTGACTGGGGGGTGAGCGACGCGCGGCCCTGGGGCGCCTGTGGGGCGGCGAATGTTTCAAGACGCCAATTGGACGGACAGATCTGTCCTTTGGTGCGTCATCGCAAGTCCGCACAACGCCTGGCACTGTGCACTCGCACGTTGGTGGCGCTGCAGCCCGATCTGGTCCCTCTGAGCTCGCAGGCGTTCGGTTTTGTGGCGCCGGGAGGAGCCGGGAACGGGCGTGGGACAGCAGGGCCGGCCAGCAGGCGCCACCCCCCTTCTGACGGAATGACGATAATGACCTGAATGAAACAGCACGGGTGTTAGAAACTACAGGAATTTTGACGAATTGTGTACAGTACGGGGATTGGCCGCTTGATTCTTTGTCGCAGGATTTGATTGGGGGACTCGTCACCGATTGCTTCCCACCAAATAGGGCTCGCTGTGCGGGCCGGGCGGCGTCGAATGGTCTCCTGAGACTTTTTTGTTTATCATAAATTGGCTGAGGTGGAAATCTGAATTCGAGTAATTTAAGTCCAGGAGTTATTCCCGGGAGTGAAGGTGATTTGCCGAATGCAGGGCAGTTGGGTAGGTGATCCCGCGGCGTCATGTCGCACGTGACGTTGCATTGGTTCGTGGTGTGGTCCCGGAACTTTTTGAACGCGCATTGAGTACGAGAGAATGCAGATGATAAAGAGTTGGCAACAGGGCGTTCTCTCGAGGTTTGTGAACCGTCTTACTTTCTTACTTTAGCTCATTCAGCATAGGCAGCGAGCTTCGGAGAGTCTGTGTTGATGTCAGGATGCTCGGTGCCAAATTGTACAACACCCTAGGGTGGGTGGGTCCCAGGCCTGGGACCTTTGTGGCATTATATTGCAAAGCTTCTGTCCCAGAGGGGATGTGGTGGGTGATGGCAGTTCAGATGTCTTAGGCAACTCGGTGGGACAAATGACGGCTTGCATCATTCAATTGAAGACGTGACTGGATTCCTTTGTTTCAGAGAGGCCTCAGCGCCCATTTTGAATAAGGAGCAAAGCTGAACGAGTGGCAACTGTGGATAGCGAATGTAACAAATATTTATGACCACTATCCTGCGCACGACTCGTGCGTGACGCGCTCTTGTGACACGCACGAATCTGCACCAATATTGGAACAAGGCGTCCCTCGTTTTGATTCAATTGTCTATCATAATGAACCCATTCATCGACAAGTGAACAGAAACGTATGTCACATGCTAGGGATGCGGATTAAGTCTTTGCACTCATGTATCTCAACCAAAAACTGCGCGCAATAGAGCTATTGGAGCTCTTGGCCACGACCACCAAGGCATGGATGCTAATCTTCTGTTTCTTGCCCTAATGATTCCACCGCGACACGTTACGAACACTTGCCAACAATAAATGATTTGTTGCCGGCTTAACCAACTTCCTATCTAATAGCTAGGACTGGGTCATAGCCACAAAGGCACGCGAACAGTCGCAAAGAAGTTAACACTGCTCCCCCTTTTTTAACGGATATTGAGCAGATGCGCCGGCTACAGTGGAGGCAGTGAATAGCATCAAAACTGCAATCACCTGCAGAACCTGTGCGGAGCATTCAAATCTGCGGGGGCACCCAAGTTGTCAACAGCGCTGACGGGCCAAGACGCACCGTTGCGCCATTCGCCCACTGCAGCCCACCCGCTTTCCGGACGCTAAAACGACCCCTCCCCGAGCGCTCCCAAATAGACGTGGCGGGCGCAACCCCTCAAAGCCTCCAACGAAAGATGCTCCCTCAAGACACCGCGCAGCCCGCGCACGGCGCCAGAGTGGGCGGGGGCAAGCAGGTACCGCTTAACCAGCACAGGAAATCGCTGCTTCCAAAAACTCAGCGGCGCGGCCCACGCCATGCCCCTCTGCTCGCACAGGCGCCGCAGCGCTGGCTCGCTGATGATGTTCGCGAAGCCGCTACGCTGGTAGGGTAGCACGTGGTGCACCCTGTGGGGGCCCAAACCCGCCGTCAGGAAGCAGTCCGCCCACTTCCAGCCCGTGAAGATCATGTCGTAGGAGTGCGCCACTTGGAAGGCGGCCCAGTCGTTGCTGGGGTCGGGCTGCGGGCAGGGGGCGTCCAGGTCGTGGCTAGCCACCACTTGGAAGGTGGAGATCCAGAGCGTGAAGAAGAACTGCAGGAACCACACGCGGAAGTGGCCCAGCACGCAGAAGGTGACGAGTTCGGCCACCAGCGCAAGCCTGACGAGGCAGAAGACGGCGAATATGAGATGGCCGTCTCGAGGCATTCTTCCCTTGGCGGTCTCGATCATCTGCAAGGAGGTGCAAGAAAACGGCAAGCAATTCAGCTGTGCGTGCTGGTCACATGATCCCTGCGGTCGTTCCGGTGCCGGATGCTCACATCGTTGGGAATATGGTCCCCGTAAGACGCAAGCACCAGGCAAAAAAGGACCGAATAACACTTTTTGCGAACACATATTCATGCATTTCATCAGCGTTTTGCATGCTAAAAACACGGAAATAACCCAAACCCGTAAACTCTGTACACGTTTGAAGACATGTTATTTGGCCCTTTTTTCCCTGGCGGAGTGTGAATTGGATGCATCCAATTAGAAACCACAGCTTGCCCTCTAGAAAAGGAGAACTTGAGTCATCAGGTCTACCCCTTGTGAATCACGAGCCGCGATGACACAAAGTTGAGGGAAAAACAGAGCAAACCGGTGATGCAGCTTGTTGTACAACATGACGGAAATATGGAGCAGATGTCCTCCTGCACACAGCCTACGACAGGATTCCATCGTTTCCCTCACTTCTCAATCCCCAGCTGCGACACACGTCAACGCACACAGCGGGCTACACACCATTCCATCTCCAATGACGACACGTGCGTCATTCCCCACATCCTCCCGTGCAACGGCAACATTGAGTCACATTCAGCACACCGCAAGCATATGTCCGCCAAACAGCGGCGCGACAGGCACACAGCAGAATGCGAACGGCCGCCCCACCCCGCACTTGCCCACCTGCACGATGCTGCCCCGTATGAACACCCCGGTCACCGTCTGGGCCAGCTTGTGCGCCGTGTGCACCGGCAGCCGGTACAGCCGCGGGAGGCTCTTGATGGCGTCGAAGATCCCCCGCTTCACGTCCCCGGGCGCCATCGTGAACGCGTGGTGCAGCATCACGTGCCCGTCCGTGGACACCAGTGCGAATCCCACATAGTTGACGTCGAACGCGAAGCCCAGGATCCCCCACGGCCAGGCCGCGCTTCTGTGCAGGAAATAGTGGCCCGCCCCGGCCAGCGCTATGCGCGTCAGCACCATGGCCGCCACGAACGGCGCCATGCCCAGACTGCCCGCCAGGAAGGCCGCCTGCAGGGCCACATAAAGCCCGAAAATGCCCGCAGAAACGACGTCAAAACTCCGATCTGCGGCCTTGATCTTCTCGCGCATCTCCCTCGTGGACATCAGCGCCCGCAGCGCCGGCAGCAGGTGACCGGACTGCTCGGCGTAGCGTGGCAGGTCCCTCGCCGCATCGAAGTCCTCGCCGATCAGGAATGCCGGCAGGTCGCACATACTCTTGTTCACGTCGCCCGGCCTGGCATCCCTCACCCGGTACTTCGCCAGCACGGGCCGAACCCTGTCCGGGTTGGGGTGGTATGTGTTGAAGGTGACGGTAATGTCGCGCCCACGCGAGCGCAGCAGGAACTTCTCGCCGCCGGGATGGTGGCGCACGAAGTCCGTCAGGTCGTAGGCTGCCCCGTCCACCACCCACAGCATCTCGGAGTCGTCCACCTCCAGGGCGCCGGTGGAGAACCCCGCCACGGCTAGGAACGCCCGGCAGAGGGCCGTCCCTGCGTCTTGCAGCGGGGAGGTTTTGTGGGATGCGCCAGGCATTGATGCGAGCAACAATGCCCGCTTGGCGGCTGCCAGCGTGCTGCAGAGCACCCCCCAGGGTCCCCGCGGGCCGCGGCCGTCGCCGTGAGGTTTGGCGTGCTGTGACGCGGCCGACGGCGCGGCATCGAAGCCTGCCCGCGCGGCCGGATCCGTGGATGCCTCCGGAGGCACCGAGGGCGGCATCTCGCGTCCTGTGTCCGACTGAGGGCGGTGGATGGCAAAGGGGGTGGGAGGGGCGCGTGTCGTGGGCCTTGCGTCGCGCGGAAAGGGGGGCTTTGGTGAGCACTGCGGTGAAGGGCTCCGCGTGTGGCAGCGTGTGGCAGCGGGGTTTCTGCCAGGGTCACGAAGCAGCCACGGGGGCCCCTGCGGCCTGCACCTTCCGGTTTCTCCTTCCAGCTTCCGGGGGGTCAGTGTCCGCGGTTGTGAGATCGCAGCTTGCTGGCCGGTGGGCGTCGTCTGTCGGTCCCTAGGGGTTGCGGGCCCGTTGCGAGAGGTTGGGGTGCGCCCGACTGGGTCGCCAGCTACTAGCTGATGCGGACACCGAGGGGTCCACCTCGCGAAGGGACACATTCTGCGATCGTCTTGTGAAGCGCCTGGTCCACGGATAACCTTTTCCACGGAAATTCTCATCCCAGCGGGCCTCCTGCAAGAAGCCAATGAGGGGAGTTCCACTCCGGAGTTTCGACTGTGGAGTTGTGGAAGCCTCCCCCGGGCACGCGTGTGGCCTGCTCATTGGCAAAAAGGGACCAAATAACACTTTTTCGAACACGCATAAAACACATTTCATCAAATTTGTGCACGCTAAGAACACAAAAATAAAATAAACCCATAAATTTTGTACACGTGTTATTTGGCCCTTTTTTTCCTAATGGCGTAATGCCACTGGCATTCACAAGGGATAAATCGCCCCTCCACATGGATTGTCACGCGCTTTAGCAGTTTCCAAAGTCCATGTGTGGGTAGATCCACCTTTGTTCACATGCCTTGGCGCGGATCAGCTGCTCATCATGCCTGCAGACACAAACTATCAAGGTGGCGGTAATGGGAAATGACTGATACACTTGAATGCAACTCATGCAACTGATTCGTGTGTGTGTCAATTGCCTTTATTGGCAGAGGGCGCGTTGGCTGTGCACAGGTTTGGTTTTACGCCGCAAGAACTGATCGTATTTACGTTTTCAAGCGTGAAAGTAGTTTTACGTTTTTACGCATAAAAATGCGTAAAACAATGCAAATACAACGTAAATGCAGCCCCGCGTACATAAGGACAGTACATACAGACTTCCGGATTCCGGGGAGTGGCAGCCAGATCCCCAGAAGGGGGCAGAACACGAGCCTTTGTTACACGCCATCGTCGCCCTTGCCAAGGGCGAGGTGGACATTGTGTTGCGGGTGCTGGAGAATCTCAGCCTATGCACTTCGGCAGCATTGCCACAACCGCCTTAAAGCGGACCCTTCCTTGTTGAATCAGCGGCACTGATATGACAGTGCCTGGTCCATCGTTGACGGATGGTTGCTTGAGCATAAAGGGGCATGCCTGTTTCAGTAATCTCTCTGTGAAACTGTTCCCTCAGCTGTGCCTCCAAGCCAGCGTCCATACCTGCCTGCGACTAGGCTTGGTTTTTACGTTTGCGTTAACGTTTTTGCTTTTACGTTTTTGCGCTTAAAAAAATTGCAAAAGGGCCTAATTTGGCGGCTATTTTTTTACTGTTCGAGTGCCATGATGTTACAAACAGCTGACAAGGACCGACAGGAGGATGTCTACACTTAGGAACAGCAATATGGCTCAACGATCAGCCATATGCGCTCGATGAGAGTCACCAAAAACACAGCCACTATCACAGCCCTGTCAATCGCCCAGCATTTCTGAGCGTTCCGCTCCTGCACTTTTACCAACTTAGTTCATAAACACTCACAGGACAACGAGAATCACCACAGCAAGTAAATTCAAGCCCAACAGGATACTTGGGGTGTGGTCGAGCGCTGCCGAAGCGAGGCGCAACCCCAGAGCTGAACTTCGTGTTCAAGTTCACCTTAGCCGTTCACATACAACGAGAAACATGCAACTGCTGACCAGCTCGACGAGAGGCACGAAAATACACGCTCAAACTGCGAAACGATGCTCCACACCTCACTCAGTAGCTCAGTATGACGAGCGTACTGACCATTCTCCAGATGTCTCAAACCGATGTCGTCGATGCTCGTTCCCTGCGGTCCAGCGCTGCGCTCCACTCACTCGTCAAGCAGCGGACGATGAAGACGGGTCGTTGAGTCGACGAAGTCAGCGCCCAACGTGGGCGCGCGCGGGTCAGTCGGTCAACGGAATGGGAATCGAGCTCGGCGTCGAGCTATGGGTATGTGCAGCGGTGCACAACCCCAAGGACAATTGACCCGGAGGGTCAGGAGGCGAAGGCACACGGAAACGAAAGTGCTCGTTACACAGCTGCTCCCCTTCGACCACGTTCGACCTCCACACACTCACAGCACGACCGTTTTCAACAGAGCACCCGCCGTTCAGACCGCCAGAACCAAAAACGGACGGGTGGGGGGCGGAGAGAGAGGGGAGAGGGGGCACCCACACCCCAAACACTCCCTCCTAAATACCCCCGCCAGCTCCAAGGGCACTACACTTTAGTGACCCTTGGATAAACAAACAGACACATCAAGGAAAAGGCCCCAGTACCCCTAGTACTCCTCAGAAGTTCCCATTGACCTTCTCCAAGTTGACCCTTTCCAAAGGGTCACACAATACAATCAAAAAAGTCACTTGTGAACACTACAGCACTACTCAACACCCGTCAGCGCCTCTTGGTAGTACTCCCATGAAAATGTACTGCTGTACATCTTCTTCCCACTCACGCTGCGAGGAACTAATGGCAGTAGGTTCCTGAAAAATCAAATTAGGGAGAATCCCCCTATCCAAACAAAAAATACACCTAATGCATTTTTCATCCCATGTACACCCATCACACCCCACAGTCCCGTAGTGGGTATTGTCCCCAGGCTGCCTAACCCATTCTACCTCCCTTTCCCCCATGTACAACATGCGTGCCCTCAATTGAATTCCCTGCATCATCCAGCCTCCTTCCGGGCCTGGCAGCTCCACCTCCCACTCAGCTGTTACGTAAGCTTTCCAACGCGACGCGGCGACCACCCTCCAGTACACCCGGGTGGCGCGCTCCACCATCCCCACCGGCAGCCCCCCGTCTCCCTCGGCGAGGCCGCCCACACTCCCTTCTCCAGCCCACGCGAACGGCGCGGGCGGGCTGTCCGGGCCGTCGCGCTCGGCGGCCATCCAAGCATCTCGCTCGGAGGTGCTCCAAACTCCTTCGCCTCGCCAATTCGCGGCGAATACACTCCGCCGAAGTCGATCGCCCAACCGGACGTTGGGGATCGCCGCAACCCAGTAGGCGTGAACGGCAAACAGTTGGCCGTTCAGGTGTCTTACTCGCCACCGAGTCGTGGCATCAAAAGCGGAATGGATCCAAAAGAGGGGCGTTCCTGGGCCGGAGGCCATGGCCCATGCCTCCGCCCCACCGAGCCCATTGCGGCACGCGAGCACCACTTTGCCCGCTTCGTCCGGGCCGACCAAAGGCTCGCCCGGGCCCCTTCGTCCCTGCGTGCACGGATCCACAAATATCCCCGGAGGGAGAGAAAGCACCGCTCCGCCATGGAGCATGGCGGAACCGGAGGGTCCGCCCACACCGAATGCGAGCACGTTCGACCCGCCTGCGGAACGTGGGGATGCTTCGGCCATGGCGAGGGAGGGCTTCCGACGGTCCCTGCACGGTCGGGGAGGCTGGGGTGTTGCGGCGCGCCGAGCAGACCGGGCAGAGCGGGCGTAGGCGGGGCGCAGGCGCAACCCGCGGGGACCAGATGCAGGGGGGCGCGGTCACGTCCGACATACGGTACATTACACGAAATATCAAAAGGGCGGTCTCCCGTACAGGTGCAAAACCACAAAGTACTGTTAGCAGCCGCACCCAACGTCCCATCACGCCTCACTGGACCCCTATACCCTGCCAGTACCTGTCCCATCAAGGTCCTAGGACCTTTTGCAAAAGTTCAGGTCCATTCAAGGACACCCCCTACGGTTCATGGTCTCCCCAAAACGGGTCAGGAATTGGCCCTTTTTCCCTCTGAAAGTCACTCAAAAGGCCCTTACAAACCGGCCAACCTCTCACTCAGGGTCCATCACCACACGCCCTGCACACACCGTGCCTCTTTTTCCCCGGCTAATAGTACTGGACAATCTACCATAATCGCATACTAAACCCAATTCTGTACACCCAAATTCCATCACCGTCAAACTGTATTGTATCCCGTCAGCATGCGGCTCCAGCTGACTAGTTTTCGCCCTTTTCCTTGACCAGTTCACAGCCCAGTCACAGCCGTCCGTGCTGCCCGTAGAGCGCTCTTCAATTAACGTCATTGTTGCTCATTCTGGACGGTTCTGATGAGCGGCATTGCAAAACAGCGAGATGGAGGACATCTCAGCTGTAAATGCATCAATTCGTGTGCACTGGAGAGAAGCTGAGTGTGCATACGTTTGCCTTGATCATTCAGCAGCTGCATGACCGCTAAATGTAACCGTATGTCATGCGGTTCAATGTGATTTCTGCTGAGCACATTGACCTTTCCTTTCTCTGCGGTTTTCTCTCGATTACAGTGGTGGCCATTTACTTGAGCAGAATGGACTGTAATCGAACATTACGTTTTTACGGCTCCCTGGGATGCCCAGGTTACATGATGAAAGTTGCATACAATGATCAGTCCTCCATCATATGCAGCACCCGCAACGCAGTGTCCACCTCGCCATTGGAAAGGCCGATGATGGTGTTTAACAAAAACTCGTTTTCTGCCCCTCCCAGGGCGTCTGGCTGCCACTCTCCGGACTCTGTAAGCTTGTATGTACTGTCCTTATGTACACCGGGCAGTTTTTACCTTGTATTTACGTATTTTTACGCATTTTTGCGCGTAAAAACCTAAAAACTGTTGTTACTCGTAAAAAATGTTTCTGCTCGTAAAAACGTAAATACGATCAGTTTTTACGGCGCCAAAACCAAGCCTGCCTCTGACATGCACCCGCCCCGAACCTCGTGCATCAGCACAGACAGTGATGCGACATAATCAATGATACACGGACTAAATGGATGGCCTGACCGTACAGGGACATCGCTGTTCGGGATCTCTCTGTAACGCCTTTGCCTCCAGCTCGTTCCCAAAACCAGAACCACCAGAAGCGGTTCCCCAGTGGCGGACCAGCCAGCGACACCAGCGACCTATCAACGGCACATCCTCATTATTGCGTGCATCGACCATTCCCGCCCAAACTCACCCAAGCCCGCCCGCCCCTCGCCCAGGTGTGCGCCCTCCCCCGCCGGCGGAGGGTCGCGCATCGGAAGCACAATCGGCTCACACATCGGTCGAGCAGGAGGAGGGCGGTTCCCCAAGGGCGTCCATCTCTTGGACGCGGTCGCAGGCGAAGGGCGACATCGGCCGCGACGACTGAGAATCTGGCCGCTGTCTCCGCCTACTCTGGACACGGCACCCAGCGCCGTCGAATGCCCCGCCCTTGGTACCGGGACTGTTGTCGGGGCTGCTAACGCGGGGCATTGCGCCTTCAACGTCCTTCAACTTGAACCCCCGCGTTAGCGGTCCTTGTTGAAGGAAGAAGTGGTAAAAGGGGCGCAGTACTTAAACAGTACATGGTCGTGCCACTTGTGCCTGGTAGTCACAGTGAAAGATCACAGTGATCGCGGGGCGCATCGGCAGGGTCCAGCACCGCCGGCCCACTGGCTGTCGGGGTTCATGTGCGCGTGCCCGAATGCTCAGAGGGCCCAAGCGGGCTCTTGCGAGGTCCGAACGTCATGGGAGGTGATCTTGGCGTGGCTGCGTTGGCCATTCGGTGGCCCATCTGGATGGAGTTTCCCGAGAAGCGGGCGATTGGCGTGGTGTGAACGATGGCTGTCGAGCCCCTCCGAAAAATCGGAGCAAGGGTCGCCGATTCGTTCCTGGAAGGGATGCTGGCACTGGACAGGTAGAAAAGTGCGCGTGGGCTAGGTCCCTCTGTTTCCATGTGGGCCCCATTTCTTCGAACGGAGCACACGCGCATCAGTGTCATCAGTGTCCTAGCGCTTTATTGGTCGAACTGGCCACAGACTCCTTGCCTGGTCTTTATTGACATACGTACTCAGCACACAGTAGCTGTGCCACACATCAATAGTACTCAGTTCACTCCAGAGAGTAAAACTGCAGCAAACGATGGAACTCTCACTGCATTTTGTTCTGCTTTTTCTGAAGTGTTCGGAATGCCCCAGGAAGACTCTCTGCCTGAAATTTGACAACAGAGGCGTGTGCGCGCCTGATGGTCACCTGGTATTGTGAAGGGAGGAAAGCCATAACAACTGCACCGTATTATATTATTACAGTTGGAGTATTGTGCAAGCACCAATGCAAGAAATTGGCAGGTACACCAAACCGCACACCAAACCGGGAAAACAGGCCGATGACAAGTTCAAGGAAAAAACAAATTGCCCCTGGATGTGAAGTTTTTACATGTTGTGGGCCCAACCAATCCCGCGACTGAGTGCTGATGCCCAATCTAAAAGCTGAGGATTCATTCGATGATGCCCATTGATGATGTACACGACTACCAAAATCACAAGATTATACATTCCTGCAGGCAACATGAAAGGGACATGCTGGTCATTCTTCTCCAGTAAACTCACCTAATCGGACAGCATCCTAATTCTGGTGGCCTACAAGAACTTCACGATGATCTTCAAGGTTCCCTCATGCCCCACATTATCATGGGTATCACAATGTGATTTTTTGGCCTGCAGCAGTGACTGAAATCATGAAATGGACAGCTGGCACCACAGAATGGGATTTACAGGGCACTATTCTTCAGATCGCCCATTCTTGTATAACCGTCCTGACTCCAGCCAGCCAATCACTCTTCTGCATCCTGACTCCAGCCATGCAATCAATCTGGCGGCCATCAGAGTCTGGCAATGTTCTGGGGATGCACCATAACTTTGCAGAGGTGGTGCCAGTCATGCTGTCTATCTCCACGGGGGTACCTCCCTACACTGTGCATCAAGTGCAGATGGCCAACATATGTGCCAGCAAAGGGATGTACAACGAGACACAATTGGCCACAATGAAGTCGTTGTGCCAGAACTCGGCAATCGCCAAAAGGCACATCAGCATTCCAGACCTCACACCGGGAGCAAGGGTGGAAGGAGACACAAATCTGTTCTTATGTGGCAATGATGGTAGCCTGCCCGTGGAAGAAAGAATGGAGAGAGCCCACAGAGTCGCATCTTCTCTTGCCCCCAGGGTGTGCAGGAGGGCAATCGAGGCAGCATGCATCTCCATTCAGGATGTGCTAAAACTGGTGATTGTCAGCAGCACAGTGCTTGCAGCACCGGGCATCGAAGTGGAGATTGTCAGGGGTCTTGGCATCAGGAATGATGTCGACGTGTCATTGGTGAGAGCCTAGCATTTGCGACTGAACCCTTGCGCTGGAGAAACAACGCACTCAACATGCAGGCCATGAAATCTCTGTTGCGATGAATGCTGCCCACGTGAATGAATCTTTTTGTACTGCATTTGCTACAACACTCCAGAATGCACATCCTGCAGCGTCAAGCACTTACATTTCGCCAGCTATTTTCGAATGTGTACCCTTGTGAGGGATAAGCCAGGAACTGCAAAATGCCAGATGATAGCTAAGTGATGCATGAGTACGATGCGAACCCCTTGCCTTGGTATGATGTGCTTTTGTCTAACTTGAGGTCCATGGCTGACCCACTGCGTCCTTAGAAATAGTGGCAGAACACCGTGGCCTGTTTAGCATTTCTGCAGCACAGTGGTGAGCTCATTCCAACATAATCTTCGCCCAAACGCCACAACGTTAGAGATCAGTTGGGAGCATTCTGGGCCGAGGACGATGGCCAGTTGACAATGGATCCAACAAAGACCGAATTGAGCTGCCGAAGTGTAGTGTGCAACTACCTTGATCGAGTTCAGAAGCCTTCAGTCTGACGAGTCGAGAATGCAATATGGAGGGGCGAGGTCCAATGCATATCGAGATATCTGAAATGGGCAATGGGTCTCTGTACTGGAGCACCTTAAGCCAAGAATGCTTCTGCCTGCCTGTAACTCCAGTGCCTGTTCATGGGCTGCGCCGGTGGCTGCGCTGGACTCCGGATTGCCTGCGACTTCGTCACAGCACACCCCACCGGAAGTGCCCTTTTGTGCTGCATCGACCTGAGCTCCCCGCACACCACCTTTGGCTCGGGCATGAACGACATGATCGTCCACGCAATTTTCGGAGACGGCTGTGCGGCGGTCGTTTTGCGGGGCTGCAGACAGCAGGACGTCCCACCCAACTGTCCAGTCGTTGTGGACACGTTCTCCCGCGCTCTGGATGGCGGAGGTGATGGGATCAGGCTGGGCGTGTCCGGAAATGGCATCACCTGCAAGCTGTCAAAGCATCTTCCGGGCTGCTTGGAGAGGGGGATTGGCAAGGTGGAGGCCACCGAGAGCGCCCCAGCCATTGCTTGGGCCCAGTGACAGAACAATGCACCCTCCAACTCACCAAATCCTTAGAGGGTATAGATTCAGACTTTGACATCTTCATGACAAGCACCAGGCAGCACACCATAGTTCTGGTTGGACTGATATGCTCTGTCTGCAAACCGAATCCACATGCCCACTGCATTCTTAATTGCAACCATTCTGCTTTCGAGCCTTGGCCAACATGATGAAACGTTCTGTCTAGCGACACACGTCCCTATTGGTTAGCCTGCTGCCATTTGTACATAGCAGGCTTGTGAATGCAGTTGTTCATAAAAGGGTTTATGCCCGCAATGCGCCCGTCAGAAAGATCTCTCTTGTTGCAAGCTTTTGGAGCAGCCATGAGAGCAATCCGTGCTTTGATTTCCAGAAAGATTTCCTTTTATTTCAGTGTGGTGCTAGCGTGACATTGTGGTTCACTATGAGGTATGCGGCAGGTAGTCGCACAGGCACTGGAGCACAGCGGGTTTAGGAAGGGCGACGTTCTGTTCTGGGCAATTCACCCCGGGGGGCGCAGGATACTGGAGGCTGTGGAGCACGGGTTGGGAATTGACAGGAGCAAGACGACATGGTCCTGGGAGGTCAGAATGGCAAAAGAGCGCACAAAGAGAATGAATCAATGAGCATCCTGACAGGCAATGTGAACAATCGACACACCGCTCAGGTCACGTACCTCTGCTGAACTCAGAAAGTCGAACTTGTATGCGCAAAGGGTGGGGATGGGGTTTGTTTCGCCTCTCCCAGTGCGATGAGCTGTGCCGCTTAGAAACCAGCACCGTTCATTGAAAGCTAAGTTCCCTAAAGAAATTAGGGAAGTTCTTTAGGGAGCAAGTTAAAACTTTTGTTAAGCAGAATAAGCTTGTGTGTATGTGTGTGCTTGCGCTGTGCTGCAATTGATGATTCGGAAATGGATCACGCATAAAAAGCACCCTCTCCCAAGTTTGGTCCTGGTGCCGTTGTGTACGCTAGTGTGGATGCCTTTTCTTACCGATTACTACATGTTGAGGCAAGCACAGGCAATTTCAACATGATGAACTGTGGTGAAAGGCTGGTAAAGACACTGCGACTCGCATTCAGGTGCTACAGGAAAATGGCAACATGCTGGGGCCGTCCGTCTTCTTCGTATTGAAGAAGATGCTTGGTGCGATGAAGCCGGATGGGCAATTTGGAACCCCAGAGGGCAAGCTGGGTGTGGCGCTGTCCTTCGCCCCTGGGGTCAGGGCAGAGGGCTTTGTCTTCAGGGTCATGCCCAAGAGGTGTGAACTCAAATCCAACTGATAGGTCAGAAAAGATGCAGAGGGCGATGGAAAGGGCTCGGAAATCTTGGGCGATGTGGGTATTAACAGTGCCTGTGCATTCTGAAGTCAAACAGAGGGCAAGGTGCAGAGATGGGAAATTTGTGATGCAATCGATGCGATGTGCCTCGAGCCGTTGTGTGCAGAAGTGCAGCAACGTTTTGATTTTGGCTACTTCTGTGCGCATGGGATGTGGGCTCTATCGTTACATGGCCAGCTGTGCCCGTGCGTGGGACGCTGGAAAGATGGATTCCTGCAGTGGGCGGATGCGATATGCGAGTACAGGATTTGAATGGACATCCCGTGGTAGGAATTGCAAACCACTTGGAAGGAACGATGCTGTAATTTAGTGCTGTGGAGTAAAGCGCGCAACTGTACTGAGCTTATTTTCAATCTGTGTTTTGGTCGTGAGCCCTGCACGTCATTGGTTAGTCGCCAGTCGGGTTCAAGCTGTCGTCAACGCGGCCCTTATGTCTTCACTGTAGTTGAAATTCAACATATCGCAAACGTGGATGTCTCCCTTGTAGTCTTGAATATCGATTTCAATTCGATGTCAGGTGCCTTCCGAGCAGGCAATTTCTTGATGGTCTGTCAGCTTCCGTTGCCAGCTGTGGACACAAGACAATCGGTGGGAAAGTTTGAAGTTTAAATATTGTTGAACTTTTGAGCAGTGTGTTTGCTTCACCAAGGGTCTCGTTCAACAGCCTGGATCTAGCAATATTGGGCCAACACAATAGGGACTGGAAGGATTGAGAAGTGGAAGAACACTGGAATACGATGAAAACACTCCTTTGCCAGTGAAAGAGAGTGCCTTGCCGCCTTGTAGCGCAAGGCTTGTACTGCCTGGATGGCCAGCTGGCCAACTCAATTCAAACGTAAATCGTGTGCCAAGAGCCCATGTTTAACCTCTTTGGACCTACACTATGTCGGTATTATTTTGTGTGTAATATATGTTGTCAGGGGAGGTGGCCCAGACCTGAGATGTCGAGGAGATGCGTAATCGCCATAAAGGTCGAACAAAACCTACTTGCTTGAAGCTAAGAAGAGGCCGAAATTACGGCTTTCACTCAAGGAGGCTTTGAAATAAACCAGAGCCAAACTTGTGAATTGACAACATCCAAGGCTGCCCCCAGAACTTGCTATTGCGAATCAAATGAGCTGTGCACAATTCTTGTTGATGGCAATAACCAAAATTGGTAGCTGACATTGCTAACCTGTCTTGTCAGGAAGCGGCCATCATTACTGGACCGGCATTTCGAACAGTGATGATTGCTAGTGCCGGAATGTTGTGTTCTTCTGTTCATCATGCACATCAGAGCACATTCATAAAGCGACTATTATCAAACTAAATGTCATAGTGCGAGCCAAGAAAAGTTCCCATCCCTCAAAAGAAGCTTGTGTTCTAAGTCGCCAAAGCAGGTCCAAAGGCAATGCACGAGTCTATGCGGCTCGTATAGTTGCCGGTGGGTGCCGATAGTTGACCAGCAGGAACGCCTCCGTTGGGAGTAGCAGCGACAGGGGGGACCACCACAATTTCTGCCATGTTCCGATACACTGCGTTGGGATATAAGATAGAGTTGCTGAGTCATGCCAGCATTGACTTTACGATAGACGCCAAGAAGAAGGATGGAAATCTGATCTTCCATCTTTCCTCATTCCCCAGCCCCATCTTGACCATAGCCCCACCCGACTCCAAATGCACAACACCGAGGCCCCCGGCAGACGAGGGATGTTCCATAAACCTGTGCATCGCCATTGAGGAGATTTTTCTCTTCTCGGTTTCATTCTCTCCGTCGCTGGATGCCAAGTCCCAGGACTGCCCGTCGTCCCCGGAGGGGCAGCCATCCGATCCATCATCGGCGTATGCCGGCGAGCCGCCGAGCGGCCTTTCCTCGCTCACGCCCTCAGGGCATTCTTGGACAGTGGGCAGAGTGGAGCCCTCGAGAATTCTCGTCGTTGCCCTCGATCAGAATTCGCTACACGCCACCAGTCACAGGGCCAGGCTCAGGGAGGGCGCCACTCACCGGGCATTTACTGTCTGAAGTGGCATTGAGAGTACCAAATCGATGCACTGGCACCCCCAAAGCAACGACCACATTCAGGCATACGTAAATCTAAATGATGGGCGATATATGCACACATGCAGCATCGTCTGGCATTATGGACGCTGTGGCATTATTTTAGGACACATTGTGCCAGGGTACCATGTGCCCAGTTGAGGGCTAAACTGTCAACACACAAACCACTTTGAGTGCGGAGATGCGACAGGACCAACACAACCGCGGTTCTGGCTCCACTGATAGGTGTTGGAAAGCGAAACTCTGTCGCCACGCTATGGCGCCTGCAATATCTTGTGTGAAGGCACCAACAATGCAGTCTATAGGGCGTGGACAACGATTGGATACGCTGGAATTGAATCGCGGCCGAAATCCATGAATGCCGTACCAGTTTATTTCTGGAAATTCTGTGTTCCCTTCGAAATTTGCCGAACCACAAGATGCTCGTCGAGTTTTTCAGTCAATCAGGAACGCAGCAGGCGAAGCCAGAGTATGCTTTCTTCGCCTTCAATTCACCTTCCACCCCGTGCCGCAGTTCGCAGCCGGTCCCAAGATTCTCCCCTTACGAGCACTGCGCACTGATCGCGAGCAATCCCCACCGCACCCCTTCACCGCCTGCTTCCACCTTCGCCCTTCGGAGCAGCGACCGGCGGCCCATGGGCGCCGTGGATATAGCCCCATGGCGCCAACAGAGCCCGCCGCACCCAGCCCGCCCGCCCTCCAATCTCCATCCCAAACTTGAAGCCTCAATCCCGTCCTCCCATCCCTCGGGCGCCGCGGCGTCGGCGCGTCGATCAATCGATCGATCGCGATGGTGGAGGGCGCGCGGGGGATTGCGCACGATGCGGTGGCCATGTTGCATGAGCGCATGGGGAAGCTCGCCAGCAGGGAGGGCATGGAGAGGGCCCTGCGGTTCCGGCCGCGGCCGGACGACGTCTTCGTGGCGGCCTGCGGGAAGGCGGGCACCACGTGGATGCTGCAGGTGAGTGAGTGTGAAAGTCCTTACAGGCAACGTGAAATATCAATTCGCTGGTCACGTGTCTCTGCTGAACTCAGGTAGTCAAACAGCGCCAATCTGCTAGCGGTCTACAATGACCTCACAATAGCTGGCCGAAACCCCACCCCCACAGTATCAAGGATGCTGGGGGTTGGCGATGGCGCAGCGGCGAGGGATGGCCCACTCTGCGGCATGACTTGCAAAATGTGGCGGGGCGCTGTCGGCCCTGCGCCTGCAACGGGAAGAATTGAGGCTGGCTCAAACGAATGACTCGAACTTTTTGTCTTGGAAAAGGGTCCATTGCAGCCACGTGAAAATGGCACAGGGGTAAATGCACTTGCCTACGTTGAGTTCACATCAGCATATAGCATTGATTTGTCTTGAGGTCTGCGAGGAGTTCCCCATGCTTAGAGCAGTGAACATGACGCGGATTTCTTCCAGCGCAGCAGATGGGTCAACGGGCGAGGGGTGTGTATCTGGATCCAAATGCCTCCCTGGCGCCTGGCAGCCTCTCTCACTGGTGTTGATAAACATAGCACAGCAGTGGGTCTTCTATTTCGCTTATATGCAGCGAAAAGGCCACACCTCAACTATCGGGCACCAAAATTTGCCTTTTTGACAAATTTGGCGCACAATGAGCACCCCTTTCCATGGATTGCAGGCCCTCAGGGCGACCTCTCTGCCTTGCCTCCTGAGCAAGATTGTGTGTGGGGCAGATATTTGATGCTTCAAAAGGGAAAACCTACAAACCGGATTCCCATTTGATCTTGCTGTTAAGTCCCACGAAATTTCAGACACGAATTGCCATGGACGGCAGTCCTTTGGGGCGAACAAACACTGCGCCCGATGGCCATACCACAACGTTGACCCTGATTCCCTCCCAGCTGCCGGCTTCGATCGGCGACAGTGCGCAGCAAATGAGGGACCAGGGACAGCCGTCCAAGTCAGAACATTTGCAGACTAGCGACTGGGGCCCCTCCTGTAGTTATGTGCTTATGTGAGTCACAGCGATCTAAAGAATGGGGTCTGCATATATTCAGCTCTCACTACCATGGGATGGCGCCCACCTCCCATGCTGGTGCTGAAGATAGCTTGGGTTTCAAGACAGCACACGCGTGGTGTCTAAATGGATCACCCTCACTTTGATGCAATTGATCCCTCTGAGAAGCGGGCATTGGTGGTGTGCTAACCCTCAGATAGGTGTGGATGCATTGCACAACTGATTTTGGCGTGCGACCTCCAAACCTGTAGTTTATTTGCAAGCAACCTGGCTCTTTCTTTGTTGAATGACCCATAAAACCAGTGAGGTGGTTTCCCAAAGGAAAACAAAGGACGGGTGGAGGGTGACAAATGATAGCAAATGGCAGCAACGATTCCACGGCTGTGTAGATCAAACACGGCATGTTCACCAGAATCCACTGAGTGTCTGCAGACCCGATGGTAAAACCAGCAGTGGGCATTGTTGGGGTAAGCTTTAGACAAGACAGTTACATGTGTTTCGAGTCCCACCCAAGAATCCAGTTATGGACATCCAGCTCTTTTGGACAGGACAATGCCTTCTCTGCTGTGACTATGACCTCGAAGGTCAAAAAGAGTCTCTGGCACTGACAAAATTTCAGTGCCACAAACGCAGGTTCGTCACCAACTGGCTTCCCTGATAAATTATAAACTACTTCGAGCTACTGCAGATGTGAATGCTGCCGGCGGACACTGTCTTTCCAGGCTTTGTCACATGACGAAAAAGTGTATTCAGAGTAGGATTGGCATATGCTGTGCAAAGCGAGCAGAACGCCTGTGGAATACGAAAGCAACCAACAATGAGTGAGGACAGAAGAGAAGCATTCTGTTGCAACAAAGGAGCATCGTCACCTTGAGTTTTGCGCTCAACTGGCAAAGTTTGCCCCGTTTGACGTGACCAGAATGGCTTCTGGCTTTCACGTTTTGCCGCAGGACGCCCGTGGACCATAACGGACACCCCGCTCACACGCTGCAGTGTCCTCTTCACCGTTGTTTGTCGCTTTGTATATAAAATGGCCATGATTTGTCATAGTACTATTAGTAGTGGTTTGTCTTCTTACTACTAGTTGTGGTTCGTCACAATATTACTACTATTATGTATTGGTAAATGCAGTTGTGATTCTGACAACGGCTTCAAGATTGATTGGCGAGGTTCGCTCCCACAGGTTTGCCATGGGCTGCGGACGGGAGGCAGTATGGACTTTGAGGAGATGTGCCTGGAGGTGCCGCACATCGAGCTCGCCTGGGACATTGGGTACGGTGACCTGGAAAAGGCGCAGGCGGCAGCGCCGCGGCTGTACAAGACGCACCTCGACTACCACCTCACGCCCAAGGGGGCAAAATACATCTACATCGTGAGGTAGCCTCCCTCACCATTGCAAAGGCCCGTTTCTCTTGTGTCTGGAACTTTGGAAGCGTAGACGTGGAAGCAGGATTGGACAGAGTCGAAATCGTCAACCGCTGGGTGCATGCAGTGCATTCATCCCTCAGAAACGCACTGAGATGCCTGTGCCGTGCGCACGGGTAATGATGCGCCCCTGTCGAAGGAAATGTTACAGCGGCCGGTCCAACCATCACTACAACTCTTTCCCGCCGTCCGCTGTCACGAAGCAAACCGTTACAGTGCGACGCATGATTGCACTTCCCCACGACTACCCCCTTCTTTGGCGCGTGGTGCAGGTATTGACAATCACCGTCGGCAACCATTGCCCACCCGACATTCAGAAACCCACGCTCCGTGAAATTGACGATTCCGCGACCGTCACCTCGCAAATGCTGTCCTTCAGGGACCCGAAGGACATGGCCATCTCGTTCTTCCACTTCTTCCAGGGCTGGCTCTTCCAACCCGACGAGCTGTCCCTCGAGACCTTCCTGAGGGAGTTCGTTTTGGCCGACCACGACAAGGGCGGGGCCTTTTGGGGCGGCATCGCCTCCTGGTGGCCCCACAGGGCCGACGCCAACGTCCTGTGGCTGCACTACGAGGACATGAAGGCAGACCTGCCGGCGGCAGCGCGGCTGGTCTCAGGCTTCATGGGCGTAGGTGTGGGTGACTACGGACTGCAGGAGCTCGTGGTGAAGCAGGTGGGGCGAAGTCGGTTGAGAAAATAATCCCACAGAAAGCCGGGGAAAGTCCAAAAAAAGAAACCGAAATTGCCCAATTTGCTTTGTTTTGAGCGCAGGGTGCATCCATGAAGCGCGATATCCGGGGGCAGCGCATTGCTTCGGCCAAAAGTAAAAAGAATCGAATGGAAACACAGCAGGACGTTACTTCAAGTGATTTTCGTTGCGCAATGACGCAATTCAACTAGCTTGTGCAGCGTTGGATGCACGGCCCCGCGCATGTAGGCACAGATGTGCGACGACACATGCAGGCTGTCGCTTAAACCTAGAATTCTTGCAGCGGATGGATCCCCACCTACTTTGAACCGAGTACGCTCAGAAAATGCTGCAATGCTGTGACGATTTGCCGCAGGCCAGCTTCGAGTTCATGAAGCAGCACGAGGCCAAATTCGACGACAGGCACGTGAGGAGGTCGCGCAACGAGGCCATGGGACTGCCCAAGGGCGCCGGGCTGGAAGGCCACTGTTCCGGAAAGATACGCGAAGGGAGGGTGGGGGGGCACAAAGCCAGCGTACCTCCAGATATTCTGCGGCAGTTGGAAGAGCGGTGGTCGACGGAGCTGCTGCCCTTAACGGGATACAGGACATACGCAGAGATGAGAGCAGGAGTGAACCGGGAGCTACAGAGGTCGTTTGCTGCATGATCATGAGCGCTGCTTTCCTTGAATTTAGAAAGAATTGAGGTAGCATTGCCCCTCGCAGATCGGTGTTCAAGCGGGCCATGTTTTTCCCAACATGCGCGTGGCCCATGAAACAGAGAGTGTGGCGCAAAGCGTCCCTGTTGGTGCATACCAATCCAACGTTGAGGCACAGTGGCCCTCTGAAGATGACACTAACATGGCGTAGAGACTCCTGCAGCCGTTCACAAACCCACATTCCTGCGGATACACATGTTCTTGAAGACCGGGTCTTTGTACTACATGCTGATACATTACATATCCTGCCCAACGGAACAGTTACAGTCCACAAATTATCCCCTAATGCAGGTGCGGCAGGATGCTGTCCGAGGTAGCACGGGATTTGCATATCGCTTTCCTCCAAAGCGGCTACCAGCACTGCACAGTGAAGGGAACTGATTGACGCCTGCGGCCCTGCGGCAGCCACGACCAAGCTGTGTGTTCCCACATGACTTACATACTCTCGTAGGCAGTCGCAGTGCAGCAAGCTGTAGAATTCACCACTTACGAAGTTAAAATTAGTACGTAGCTTGCGTCGTGACTTGGGACAATTACGGAATGTCCCTAGTGCAGTAGTATTATCGGTGGCCATAATTCTGGCAGAGCCAGCCGTGCATCCCGCACAAGTGCTCGTTACCATATATATTCAACTCTTCCGCATAGCAACGCAACGCTTGGCCTCTTTTTGCGGAGAAATAATATTGAAGAGTAACACGGAGTTTGGCCTTTTTGTGCGAAGCAACGTAAAAAACTAACGCCCTGAAAAACAAAATGCTGACCAAAAGCGTAACGATACAATTTTCTGATGCGGAAGGATCGAAGATGTTACGGTTGCCAGGGGCAACTTGCCACGGGAACACGACCCAAAGACGTTGCCGCAAATCGAATATTGACAGGCACACGGCACAGCATGGGATACATCGCATCGCCTCGTTTTTTTGTCCATACTTTTTGCCAAATAAATCGTTTACAATGTGCACATTTGCGACACGTTCTCCACTTGGAATAGGGCACACTGAACATGGTCTTAAGGCAGAAGAGACAGTAAACTGTGAAATGGTTTCTGGTAGCGTTGTTATCCCAGTTATTGTCGCCATGCGCTAGGCGTATACCCTAAGTGCACGTTATTGTAATATTGAAAAGCCTTATCAATATTACAGTTATGTATGTATCGTCACACTCCTACTAATAGCTGTAATGTATAACGCGAATATTCAACATTCTCTCATACCGTGGGGTCTTAATCCTTTCGCATAGTAAAGGTTGGCCTTTTTACGGAGAAAACAATAAATAAAATACATAACGCTCTTTCAATAAAAACTGTGCGGAGCAACGCACAAAAAAAAGCAACGCTGTGAAACAAATGCGGAGGAAAAAGCGTAACGGCACAATTTTCTGCTGCGGAAGGGGTTACAGACCTAAGGCAAATATGGACACTTACCAATAACTTGCACAGCGTCGTCAGATCGGAAAGCCGAACATGGCCCACACGAGAACACCAACAAACGCACCTCGGACAGCACCCCGCCGACGCCCTCCATCTGCACCGCGATGCACGTGCACTCTGGCTCCAGCGCGATCTTCAGGCTCCCGGACTGCAGACCGGCGATCGTGCCCGCGTCGTACGCCGCCCTGCGCATCATCTCCCCCGCCCAGTCGTTCCACATGGCTGGCACGGTCACCGCCCATATGACGTCCCCCGCCAACACGCGCAGCCCCTTGTCGTCGTCCAGCCGCCTCACCACGTCGTCCTTCACTTACAACTCCAGGGCGCGGGCCAGAACAACGCTGAGCCTCAAGGAACGGCCATCCACGGCGCACACCGTGGGGTCCTGGCTTGTCGAGTGTGCAGCGCCATCTTGAACCACCGGAACAGCAGCCCGCCTCGGCGCGACCTTTGGCACAAATGGCTGACACCCTTCATTTCCGGACATGAAGTCATGAAGGTAATGAAGGCCATGAAGGTATGAAGTCATGAAGGTCGTGAAGGACATGCAGTCATGAAGGTCATGACGTCGTGAGGTCATGAACGTCATATAGATCGTTTTCGGTTTTAGGGGTTTAGATTTTAGGGTTTGGGGTCCCTAGTACCCTATATGTGCTTCATGACCGCTTCATGGCCTTCACATCAGGGAATGATAGGCTCGGACAGTCCTCACCTTCGGGAGTATTTTTGCTCCGCTGCGCAGCCGTAGGCCAGGACGCGCTGGCCGCCGTCGTCCAGCAGCACGTTGGAGGGCGTCTTGGAGTAGGCGGTCGCGGGGGCGGCGCCCTTCGGGACACCCACCTCGATGTCGCCGTCCGCCAGGCCCTGCTGCGTGGTTGCGTAGGCCGTGCGCGTGGTGCCAAAGTCGATGGCCACCACCAGCTGGTTGCCCGGCCCAACGCCTTACATCGTCAAAGCCTGAGAGACGCAGAATGTTCGCTTTGTGGGGACGGTGCAGACGAGACCCAAAGTAGCAACATGCTGTTCTCTGGTATGTTTCTTTGCTTTCTCTTCTGTCTTTGCAAGTGGGCACGTAACGCAAACCAAGAAGCCAGTCGACTAGCTTGCAACTTTCCACAGGGGCCTGAAACGCTGACTGGATCCGACTACAAACATGCCTGCGTTACTGGCACGCTGATCGGCAAATTGCGCTTCCAGGGCAGCAATGGGTTGACCAAACCAAAAGGCCTCTGCGCCCGGTCGAATTGTCGCAGACGATGAACATGTACGTTGCAGTGTTAATGCAGCCTACTAGATGACAACACTCATAAACCATAGGGTGCACCCGCGTGTACCATCTACGGTGCACACTCTAATTCTACCGCTTGGAATACATTCAACAGCACCAATCTCTTTGTGAAGCCCATATGCCTGCACGCCGGATGTGCACGCCCAGGGAGCCTTGAAAATGATTCACGGCTTCCCGACCGTATTTGGCACCCCTCACTACGAGCTCCAGAACGTAAACGGCAACAAATGCCGGTGGGAGTGCCGAAACAGCGGCCTCGATTCCAACAACGTCTGGCAACGTCTTCAGGAGAAAACAGGACAAAAGGAGCAGGAAGCATGGTGAAGGGGCGGGAGGGAGGCCTGCTGCGGTGGCTGCCGCCTCCCTGTCGGTTTGGGGATGCGGTTTGCAGGAAGGGGTCGAGGGACGCTGGCTGCGCATGGGCAGTTTCTTGCGCATGAGCTTGTTTACTGTTGGAATGTGGAGGCACCGACAGGTGCCAATGCGTGCGTTGCGCGAGTTAGCCATATACCCCGGCGTCTTAATCCCTTCCGCAACGTAGCGCTTGGATTTTTTAGGGGAAGAAAACAATGAAATAAATAACGTGCTGCGATAAAATTGTTGCGGCGCAACGTAAAAGTAACAAGAATAACGCTCTGGAAAGCAAAATACGGAGCAAAACGTGTAGCAATAAAATTTTCCAATGCGGAGGCGTTGGAAAACCCACAGTGCAGTACGTCCGGAGATGTGCCTCATTTGGAACACACTGACACAAGTGTCCCTCCAACTGACTTGTTTTGCTCCCGCCCTCCCATCCCTTGCGATTGAGTTCGGTCGGCACCCGGGCGTCACCCTTGGACAGCTGCTTGCCGTGGCACTCACGCCTCAGACATGTCTATAACCGGAGGCACAACCGACTCTATCTCATGAGATAGCCTGTGACCCAGATGTTGCTGTCAAGACGAACTCCTGCATCTCCACTGGCGAGAGTCCCCTCTGGCCCCGCTTGAGCTTCCCTGCTGACTGTCGTGGTGAGCCTCCCCGAGCTGCGTTCGCCTTGGCAACACGCACCCGTGTGGCGTCCAGCTGCGGTAAATGCGCACCAGTAGGACGCTTTTCCTCAGGAGCCCAGGCTAGGACTTGAAAGTAAGGGCGTGTAGAATGGAGCCATGCTGTGCTAGTCCGTCGTCTGGCTTCTCCAGTCCACTACTTCCCGAAAAAACAACTTGATGTCGGTCTTGCTGGTCCATATTCGACTGTACTTCACACTCCAGAACAACCTCGACAACTTCCGAGCGGCAAGGACAACGTGGCGCACCGGTGAGGACCAACGTGATGTGATCGCTCGGCCGCGAAGATGTACAATGTGGCCCCTCCGGCCCCCCCCCCGACCGCGACCTGGAAAACAGCGGGGAGGGCGCGGACAGCCCGTGGACGGAGGAGACGCGCCCAGAAGGGCGGCCAGGTGCGCGGGTCGACGCTCCTCCGCCCACGGCTTGCTCGGCTGCGGTCAGGTTGTGGTCGCGCCGGCGTCGCCAGTCCGCCGCTCTCCCCCCTTGAGACCTTATTGCGCGCGAGCGGTGGCATACCAGCGAATCCCGCGTGCGTTGGGCGCCTCTCGAGCGGGCCGTACCCCCCCTTGTCGTCGCATGATGCTCCAAGGCTTCCCCTTTCGTCTGGCGGTGGGGCGGCTCGCTTGGATTGGACGCAGGCGCGAGCGGCGATTCCTTCTGCCCGTCGAGGCACCAGCCCGGGGGATACGCTGCGCACCCCTTTCGCCATCCTTGGCTGGGCGCTAACTGCTTTTCTTAATATGTCGGGACTTGGTTGGGGTATTCTGGTCATGGAAGCGGATGTCCTGCGATTCCCCTTGCTTCGTGTCCGTCCACTGGCGCGGTCCCTGCTGACGCCCGCTTCGCGTGGTGGCGCGTCAGCGGCGGCGCGCGAGGACCTTTAGCAGCCGAACGGTTTGTTCCCAGGCTAGGCCTGCTGAATAATTTCACATGATGGCTTGGTTGTGCCTCCCTGCACGGTCGGTCAAAGAAAACGTCCGCTGGGCGCAGGCGCAGCCCCGCACCGCGTGGCTTGGACGATCCGCGCGGCCGTTCGCCGCATTTGGCGCAGAGCGCTGCTCTGTGCCCTGCCTTCCGCCGACAAGGGCGACCGGCGACGAGCACATGCTATCTTTGATCGTCGCTGACCGTTGGGAGATGCCTGGAGGTGTTCAGGGTGGGAAATCGTGCAGCGCCACTCCTTCAAACGGGAAACAACCTCATAAGAATTCCACTTCCGTGCGCAGGGCAAGCGGTGTGGGCGCCTTGGCGGTGGTGTGGCGCATGAAGGCGGCCGCCCGCCGGTCCGCAATGGCGGTGGGAGTGATCCCATTGGCGCTGGTGGCTATGCTCCTGTGCTCCTTTGGCTCTGCGGGTGGCCGCAGCCTGAGCGGGCAGAAGGACGAGGAGTGCTTGAGGGCGAGCATCCTGGCCGTGAAGGACTGTCTGCACGCCACCGAAGAGGATGAGTTCACCTGCACGATGGACGTCGCAAGGGTGACGGATGAGTGTCTCGATGCGTGTCTTGCCAATGGGGACTGTAATGGCTCGAAGTGCGTCCACGACTTCCTGTCGACTTGGGACGAATGCGAGGAAAGGGGCAAGTACACAAGGGGCAAATGTGCGCAGGCCTTGAAGGTGGACAGGCACCGCTGCCCAGACGCTTGACGGGCTGAATGGCGTGCTCCCTGCAATCGGAAAGGATGTTGAGGGCGAGCTTTGGCATCCGTTGTTGTGCCCCTGCTGCGAAGATCCCAGGGGATCTTCACGACTCCCTGTTGCATGCAGCTGCATACTGGCAGAACTTGGCAGAGAAAGGCGGTGAATCTGATCTGGAAACATAGCATAGAGACAGAGGCACGGTTTACAGTCACAGTATGTACGAAACGCAGGGACTGGGACGTCGACCCATTGCCTTCGGCAAACACTACACACACAGTTTTGGGAAATGCAAGGGAGCCTGCCCGGGCCGACTCCCTGAGCTGTACCAATAATGATGTGGCATTGGGTGTATGACTACTTGCCCTGCCCAGGTTTCTGAGAGCACGCATGCACGACCAGTGGATGTGCCCTGGACAGAGGCACATCCATTGCATTTCATCTGCAAGGAGCACCAAGTGATGGCAGAGGCAAATTGTCCACCACAGAGATTTGGACCATTGATGGGACCCAGATCGAACATTTCTGTGCATCCTTGCGTTGAACAAAGGCCAACAGGGACTTGATATGATTGGGTGACTAGTTTATTGATAGTGTTGTCATTGAACACTGTTGTGTGGTCACGTAATGAGGGGACGCATTGGCAGGGAGTGCATTGCGGTTTCGCGACAGCAAATGTAGTGCAGGACTGTGAGGTGGGATAATAAATGCTGTCGTACGGAAACTTGCCACCTGCCACAGGTGGTGGCAGGGGCTGTTTGATTTTTGTTTGTCCGCTTGTCCCATTTTGCAGCTGTGCCCTGGGACGGATGATGTGAACCAAGAACATTGTCATGGTCGCCCTGGTTGGCCAGCAGACTTGGTTCGATGTGAGGTTGCCCATCTTCGCATCAGATGTGTTCTGAAGTGCGCAGGCAACAATGACTTGGTGTCTTGTATTGTGCAGTATGTTGTATATGTGTGAGACTGATCTTGGCTTATGACCAGGGCCAAGGTTGCCTGGAGAGACATTCCATGGTTGTTCGTAGAGCACCTGTGGCTCCTGTGCAGCGCTGGCACAGTGGCCGACTTGGAATAGTGCAACATGCAGATCGCTGGCGCACTAGGGTGGTCGCGCTTCGTTGTCCTCGAACAGCAGTGGACACGTGCTGAGTGCTGACTGCACAACTGATTTCATCTGCACCATTATCAGTTGGTCCACGTATTTGCACAATCTTCAGGCATGGGACACATAGCTATGGGGAAGTAAGCCTCCTCCGCTTGGTCGAACTTCACGAACAAGGTCCGACAGCTGTTCAAAGCGGAAGCGAGGCGCTTTTCCACACCTTGCCGCGTCGGACTCCGATAACAAGCGTTGTCAACGGCAGCGCCATTGAGGTATGGGGGAAGACAGTGCGTCGATTTAGTTACGCTTGACGTCACATTGATGCGAAGCTGACGGCGCCTCCCCGCTCGCCCCCACCCCCCATTTCCTTGTGTAGATACCCATCACGACCCACTGTTAGTGTTGCTCAAATATTGATGAGTAGCAATACTGGTGTTCCGTCACCTACGGCGATCACATCGTGTATGCCGCTTTGCCAACCTGATGCAGGATGTTCACCACCGCCATTTGCACTCACCATCAGCACTGCTGTACTAAGGCACAAAACTGGGATAGAGCTGAACCACCCCTCCAGCCCCGAATACGAAGCGCAAGGAGCTGAAGCACAGGCCACTTTGACCAGCGGAGGCGTGTGAGGCAAAGCGTCACGGCGAGGCAGGTCCAATGAGGCACGCTCGGGTACCCCTGGCCCAGCAGCAAGCGCCACGTGGTATTGGAGGCAGGCATCGCTGATACGATATCAACGATTCCCACTGATTCATCTTCCCTTCCCATATGTCGATTCTTGTCGCTGCAGTGTGATCGAGGGCCCTTGGGTAAGCTGGACTCCAATTGGAGTCATTGTAATGTGAGGTGTGCCATGTTTGGGCAGCGAGCGGAGCACAAAGCCCTGCGAAACGCTGTGGGCAAGGCAACCTATTGAAGAAAAGGAAACAGCCAGCGCTGCAGTGATTGTGGGAGGGTGGCTAATAGAACATGAGGACAGCCTTTGGTCCAAGTGTCTCAGTTGCTCGAGAGGGCAGCCTTCAGACCTAATGGCCCAACTGATGGAGATAGATTTGAACCCTAGGTTGGACACAAGCCCGTCACTATCAATTCAGAAATTTGGGGCGCCCAGGCTTGTTCTTTACCCATAGAAACTGATCGTATGTATGCTTTTACGCGTAAAAACACGCAAAATACATCAATACAAAGTAATGCAGCCCCGTGTACATAAGGACAGTACACACAGACTTAGGGGCCCTAGGAATGGCAGCCAGCCGCCCTAGAATGCGCAGAAGGCGAACTTACGTTCCACGCCATCGTTGCTCTTGCCGAGGACGAGGTGGACGCTGTGTTGCGGGTGCTCGAGGGGCGGGGGAACTGATCATTGCACGCGATTTTCACCGCCTAACTTGGGTGCCACAACGAGCAGTAAAAACGTAAATACAGCAATAAAAAACAGCCCATTTTTGCAAATTTTCGTTTTTACGCGTAAAAACATAAACGCATAATGCAAACGCTGAGACCAAGCCTGGAGGGGCCTACTTAAAGTTTTGAGGCTCTAAAAAGATTTCAATATGCCAGAGGGGAGGGGGGACCTCTGCTCAGCTTGTGTCATTTTCCCAAGTGATTGAATCACGAAATTATCCGCCACCAAGGTCGTGCACCCCCAGCATCGATTTGACGTTAGGAGTGACAGAATCTCCTGCATATTTTGCATTTTCCTTCTCTTTGGCCACTGTTTGTAAGCAATGCTGACGGGTGGTGAGCGAACAAAATGAAAGGATGAGGCCTCAGGCATTACCTGTCCCCAGGAACAGGTAAGATTGTTGGATACATATATGCACGCCAGCGCCTGCGAGGCGCACTCTCCCTGCCGTGTTTTTGGGAGGCAAATTTAATAAAGGCATTTGGTAGCAGAAACGCCGCAATGTCGCCGCTGAAGGAAGGCCCATTCCTCATGTATTGAGTCCGAATTGGACTAATGAAGCACGAAGTGCTCGGGCTTGGCACAATGGCTCAAGTCGCTAAGCCCAGGAAAGCTACGATGATGGTCACAGGTATTTGCTTGGAGCGGATGGTGATGGACACCAATGCTGGAAAAGTGTCGTTGTGCTGACCAATGTACATGTTCGCAGGTAAAAGTGTCGCCAAAGTGCTCGCCCTGGGCTCTATGTGACCCACCAGCCCATCCTCTCCATTTGGTGGTGATGATGGAAGGCCGCGGTGGGTTTTGCGACTGGATTAGAAAGCTATTTGCGCTTGGCGCCGCCGCCAAGGAGTAATGTATGTGATTGAACCTGGGCTTGGGTAAGCATTGGTGTAAGCCGTGGATTCGTGTGTGGGGCCTGTGCACCGGCTGATCCACAGGGGCTAACATCGTGATCGCTGTGTATCGATCTCCATTTGGTGGTGTTGCTGGAAGGCCGCAGTGGGTTTTGTGACTGGATGAGAAAGCTCTTTGCGTTTGGCGCCACCGCCGTGGAGTAAAGTATGTGATTGAACTTCACTAGGAAAAAATAGGCCAGATGACACAGTCCTGACACGGTCTGCTCAAAATCCAATTGTGTACTTTTGGCAAATGTGGTCCCAAAAGTGCACAGTTAGTACACACATTCACACAATTTCAACCGTGTACTCTCTAACAACTGTGTAGACTACACGGTTTCCTAGGATGCACAGTTAAAACTGTGTCAATGTGTGTACTAATTGTGCACTTTTGGGACCACATTTGCCGAAATTACACAGTTGGATTTTAAGCAGACCATGTCAGGACTGTGTCATCTGGCCTTTTTTTACTAGTGCTTGGACTGGGGCAAGCATCGGTGTAAGCCGTAGATTCGTGTGTGGGGTTTGTGCACCGGTACATCCGCAACGGCTATGTCGTGACCGCTATGTATCGATCCAATATCAAGCGGTGTCTTTAATGAAACACCAGTGGGTGGTGGCTCCTCAACTTTTGATGCTGACTTTAAGCAGCTCAGCCATCGCCACCTTCGGCGACGGGCTGACCTTTGGTCGAACAATGGAAAGCATTTCCATTCGTCGCCAATATGATGCTGTCTCGAAAATGGCTTAACACCGTCTGTTTGAATGTCAATGAGCCGAAAGACGAAAGCCCTAATGAATACATACAATGAAAGTCGCAGTACGTTGCCCCTGGGCCTTGACAGGCTCCCGCACTGGGCCACCGGCCGCGCAGACGACCATCTGCACTTTGAAAACATTGCCCAAGTAAGAACAGAGAAAGGAAACAACTGTGTTGCTAAATTTTGGAAAGAGGAACGGACACGATCGCATGATTGCCTTGCGTTGCAGCGCATGATGCGCGAGCTGCGCACTATTTTTCGGACATCAACACGACGTTGATGTGAGGGCCGAAACTGCCCCAAAATGGACAATGCGTTGCCAACATCGAGGGCCTCACAAGGCACCGCGCGTCGGCCCCACTGACCATCCTTCTCGGCAGCATGACCGTGGGCACCTTTGCATGGCCCTTTGGAACAGCACTTGGCCTTGTTCAGCAAGGGACAAGAACAATTGGGGAAATTCCGCCGTTGTATATTCGGGAAGCGGCGTGGTGCGTGTGGGGTACATGAATAACAGGAGACGCCAGAACGACCCGAGAGGCCCCAAGGGGAGCGACGGGACGCGGGAGGACCAAACTGCGGGGGCTGTCGACGCGGCTTTGTGCACCCCTCTGGCGCGGGAGGCGCTTCCGCGGGAGCGCCGGAGCGTTGAGCCGTGAGCGGTGAGAGGCCCGTTTGCGCGCAAGGCGCCCAGCTGGGGGTCAAGTGCTGATCGGCTTGCCGCGCTAATCTACTGAGGTGGGGCGAGGTGGACGCGGCCAGAAGGGGGGGGCGAGGGTGTGTGTGTGTGTGTGCAAAGGGGGCGCGGCGTGTGGTGCGGTGTTCTGGAAAGAACGTGGCTGGCGGATCGCGGTCGCGGGGGGCCCTGAACACGTGGCGGGGGAGCGTGGTCGCGGGCTCGTCGGCGGTTGGCGCCGTTGCAATGCGCGCAGCATATGTGGCGGATTGGGGGACCGCCGGCGGCGTGCTTGCTGAGCATCGGGGCGGTTGCACGACGCTCGCGCACACACCCGCCCGTGCTTGGAAACTGCGTATCGGAGAGGGGAGGGACGCCCATTTGAGCCCACGATTGTCGGCAATTGCAAATCTGGGCGGCCTGCTGGGGACTGGGAGGAAGGTGGTCTCCAGGGGGCCGCGAAGACTCTGTGTCGGCTACGCGCGCGGCGAGTAGGCGACCGTCGCCTTCCGCTTTTGCCTCCGCTTCCTTGATGGTGTGCTTTTGTTCCTCTCGCAGATCAGCGAAGGCGCGGCGTGCCGCGAACGGGGGGGGGCTTCGAGCGCCGGATCATTCACCCAAGGGCGTGCGGGCTGCCCCGGTAGGCGCGTGGAAAAGGCGGAGGCACCAAACCAGGCGGCCCATGCGCAGGTCTCGCCGTTCCGAATAGCGTCTCCTGTTGCTTTTGCTGCAAGGGGGCCGAAGGCGCACGCAGGGAAAAGTCTGCGAACAACTAGGGCTCCACCGGGGTGAAGAGCAGCCCCCCAAGCCAGGGGTTCCCGATCAGCACTGCCGCAGAAAACTGGAACCAGATTCGGGGAATGGCGCCCCAGTGCCGCTCCCAGGCCGCGGCTGTGCTGCTGCTCGCGGTGGTGCTGGCGCGGTGCGGTGGCCTGAGGCTGCCGTCCGATCTGCGGGGCCCGAGTGCGGCGGCAGGCGCCCCGGACGCCCTCAACTGCACGTTCCTGGTGGAGGGGGCGGGCGGGGCGGAAAACGCAAGCCTCAGCGTGGCCGTGACCTGCGACGGGGCCACCCTGTTTGACAGGACGGTGAACGCCACCGGCGTCGCCGAAACAACCCTGACGCCGTCCCTGACGCTGTTCAAGGCCGTGGGCGGCGGCACGGCGGTCCTGCACCTGCACGGCGGCGTCGGCGGCCTCGTGTTCGACTCCACGTTTGCGTCCATCCCGCCCATGACTGGCGCGTCATTTTTGGCGCCACTGGTCCTGGACGGGGTCCAGGGATTGGCCCTGCGCAACGTGACATTCCGGGACAACGCCCAGTCCTCCCTCTCCGGCGCCGTGGTGGCTCAGGACAGCAGCGCCAGCTTCGTGGGGTGTAAGTTCGAGCGGAACGAGGCCCACGGGGAAGGGGGCGCGATCGTGTCCAACAGCAGCACATTGTCCATGTCGGGCTGCGTGTTTGATGGGAACCGGCTGGCGTCATCGGGGCAGGCTGGGGCGGTGCTCCTGACGGGGGGCAGCTCCATGGACGTGGATGGGTGCGGTTTCAAGGGGGCGGGCACGCAGGTGATCCCGGGCCCGCTGGCCGGCGCCATATTGTGCGGCAACGCCTCCTCACTCAGAGTGAGCAACAGCAACTTCTCGGACCACCTGTCGCAGAATGGCACCATCTTTGTGGCGGATGGGGGAAGCAGGCTGAACCTGTCTGGGGTGGAGTTCACCGGAAACTTTGCCGAGCACTGCGGCGGCGCAGTGCATGCGATCGGGATGGGGGTGTTCGCCAGGGGTTGCAACTTCTCTGTGAACAATGCGGGGGAGTGTGGTGGTGCCGTTGCTGTCTGTGGCGGATCCTTTGCCTGCACTCAGTGTTCGTTCAGGTCCAACGTTGCTCAAGTGGGGGGCGCCATATGTGTGAAAACACCCTTTTCTTTTGGGGCAAGCTATGCTGAAGGGCTGGCGATCAACGCCACCACGATTGACAAAAACGTTGCCACACTTGATGGTGGAGCCATCTATTTGGAAAACACGCTAGGCACCATACTGGATAGCTCGCTCAACAGAAACACGGCTGGTGGTGATGGGGCTGCCTTGTACTGTGACGGTCTTCCCTCAGGACAGCTCCAGATCATGGGCGCCAACTTCACTGAAAATGCTGCAGAGGGAAATGGGGGCGCAATTAGCCTTGTTGGGATGCAGTCAGTTGTGGAAGGTAGCTCGTTTATGGGCAACAAGGCTGGCGAGCAGGGAGGCACTCTGTTTGTTGTGCATCGTGGTGTACCTGCAGTGGCTGCAAGGGCACAAAATTCTGCTATGGTCAAAATCTCAACGACCACTATCGCTGGGAGTGCTGCGGGCGTCAGTGGTGGTGCTTTGTATGCGAACCAGACCTCCCCAGTGTCCATCGCCAGGTCAGTGTTTCACAGCAACCAGGCGTACTTCTTTGGTGGTGCAGTGCACATCGAGGGCAGTCAGCAAGTGACGATCTCGAAGTCCACATTCCAGCAGAACTCAGCTGGTTCATGCGCCAGCTCAGGAGGTGCTGTCCGTGTTGAGAAATCGGGACTGGTGGAGTTGTCTTGGTTGAACTTCACTCGGAATTCGGCTAAGGAAGGTTTTGGAGGGGCTCTGTCAGTTGCCAACTGCTCGAGCTTGGACCTGGCAGACAGCGGCTTTGATCAGAACACTGGGACTTCTGGGGGAGCAGTTCATGTCGAATCAGTTCACCAGGAGAAGTTCCAGGATCTTGTCGATGGCCTGGGCGCAGTTGCTGGTGAAGTGGCATCTGTGCACATCTCTGGCTGCATCCTTTCAGAGAACAATGCCACAGCCTCTGGAGGTGGCATCATGGTCATCAACTCTGACCGTGTGCACTTGTTGTCCAGCACTCTGACTGGCAATGTTGCTGTGGGTGCATCGGGCGGTGCGGTTCAACTGGCGGTCCTGTCCGATGTGGCTGTTGTGAAGGATTGCCACTTTAAGGACAACACTGCGATTCTTTCAGGTGGGGCCATGGACTCCCTGCACATGGGTGAGGTGCAGATTGTGCACACGGAGTTCAGGAATGACAGTGTGAGCAGTGGCATTGGGGGCGCTGTGAGCATGAGCAACGTCACGTCGATGGTGTTGCGGTCCTCTATGTTTGTCCGTTGCTCATCCTCTGGGTCAGGAGGAGGCCTTCATGTAGCTCAGTCTGGCTCAGTGCATTTGGACCAAACAGAAATTTGGCAAAGCTCTGCCCTTAATGGCTCGGGGGGAGGTGCGCACATCGACAATGTGACT